ACCCGCGCGACAGTAACAACGCCGAAATCTACTACCACTTCGCCGACAACGGTTATGTAACACCTGCAAGAGTCAACACCGACGAAGCTGAACGCATAGGACCAAACTTCATACCTGATCCAGAAGAGGGAGACGAAGCAGCCTATCCCGAGGACAACACTCTCCCCAGCACACTCCCCCGCTACACACAGAGTGGCCTCCAAATCCTTGGACTCGTCACCGCAGTCCATGGCGCCGCCATTCCTAAAGAGCCTGCGACGGTTCAACAGGCTCTGGGGGGGGAACATAGGGAGAAATGGCGTGAAGCCATGGACAAAGAGCTGAAGGCACTGAAGGAGCGCAACACCTGGAAAATCGTTCCCATCGGCGTAGCACAAAACAAGACTATCCTTACCGGGAAGTGGGTCTTCCGTGTGAAGACGAAAGCTGACGGCACCATCGACAAATTCAAAGCTCGCTGGGTCGTGCGCGGCTTTGACCAGGAGCACGGAAGAGACTACACCGAAACCTTCGCTCTGGTCAGCCGTCACACCTCACTCCGAATCCTCATCGCCATCGCCGCCATGAAGAAAAAGAAACTGCGACAAATCGACGTCGCAAACGCATTTCTCTACGCACCTGTGGATGCAGAAATCTTCGTCGAGCTCCCGCACGGCTCCCACGGTGAACCCAACCAAGTCTGTCAACTGCTTAAGTCGCTCTACGGGATCAAGCAGGCACCGCGACTGTGGCAGCAGTACCTGCACGCCCGCCTTATCCGCATCGGTTTTAAACAACTCCCGCATGACCAGGGCATGTACCGCCTCACAAAGGGAAGCGACTACGTTCTCCTGATCGTCTACGTGGACGATCTCCTCTACATCGGGTCAACCGACGGCATCGCCACGTGGTTCGAAGGGGAGCTGCAGAAGGACCTTACCCTCACCGTCTCATCTACCGTAACGCAATATCTCGGACTCAACATCCGAGAAGGGAAGGACGCGATCTACCTCAGCGCCGAGAAGTACGCCGACACCATCGCGAAACGCTTCGGTCTCACACCAAGCGCCCTCTCCACGCCTTACCGCTACACGTCAGGAACCGAAAAGGAACGATCTATTCTACTCAAGCCCGCCGGCATACGCGACTATCAGAAGAAGCTCGGGTGTCTTCTCTTCGCAGCAGTCACATGCCGTCCCGACTTATCCTACTTCGCGAGTCAGCTCGCCACCTATCTCAAGAAGCCTGAAGCAGAGCATCTGGCGGAACTCGATCGCGCTCTCCACTACTTCGTCAGCACCGCGACGATCGGACTAACTTATCACAAAAACGCAACTACACCGACCAAGCTAATCGGCTACGTCGACGCCGATCACGCCGGCGACACCGATAACAGGCGCTCACGCACCGGCTATGTCTACCGCCTCGAGCCTATCGGTCCTATCTCCTGGCAGTCGAGTAAGCAGGAGTTAATCGCACTGTCTTCAGCTGAAGCGGAATATATCGCACTCTGCTCAGCCACCAAGGAGGGACTTTACCTTCGCGAATTGCTGGAAGAAGCGAAGTTAGCCGAGTTACCCAGCTTCACCGTGTTCTGCGACAACCAGTCAGCAATTCGCATCGCCAACAAGAACGGCTTCGCAAACAGGACGAAACACATCGCCCTGCGCTATTTCTTCGTGAAGGACGAGATCGAGAAGGGGAAACTCGAACTGTCATACTGTCCCACGTCTGAGATGGCAGCCGATTACTTGACCAAGAAGCTCGGAAAGCAGAAGTTCGAATACTGCATACTGCTGACTGGACAAAGCCACGTCACCAGCAGCGACACTCCAGAAGCGAAGGGGAGTGTTGGAAACAATGGAACTTAAACGCTTCAGCAGTGTCGAAACATTGCACCAGAAGCGAGGCAACCTACACCGAAGCACCTGCGAGTCAACCCTCGGAGGTTGAATCGGCTGCAGGAAGTTACGCGAAAGTCAAAGGTCGCTGACCCTTGACCTGACAAGAACAGCGCGACAGTTAAGGACACACAACTGACTCGTCACAGAGCAGTTGCCCGAGTCGCACTGTATCGAACCGCAACAGCAACAGTAAAAGTAGTTATAACCGTATCTCTTCATATTCCCTGTATTATTATATAAGCTTGTATCTTTTCACTATAATTTAAACTACTTTGCTCTCACACACTAGTGCAAGGTCGGTTCACAAAGCTTTCATTAAACGCTTCCGCTATTACAAAGTATCCTACCCAGAGTTATCCTCTGCAAAGATCCTTAAGGGCTTCTCAGCCCAACACAGCCTGGCTCAAAACCAATCTGAGGCCCTGGTGGTGATGGTACTGCTATGGCAAACACTTGGTTCACTACGCTGACTCAAGTGTATGCACTTGGTAGGTGAACCAGAAATTTTACGCGGACCAGCACAGAGTGGGTCTATACAATACGACTTAAATTATTTTTGTTCATATCGTATCAACTTTAGGACGAACCCTTTTTTCGGCGTGACCATATCACGCACATGGAAGGAGTCATTTTCGACATTGCAGGAGAAATTTGAGCAAATAGTCGCCTTGTAAAGTGCTTGCATAAATCTTTGTATTCGTCATATGTTTGTTGGAACTATGAAACAAACTTTACAGTATATAAACTGTAATAATAACTTTCAAGTGCATACATAATCTACAGTATTTCCAGTTGGAAGACTTAGAGGATTTTCTGTGTCATAAATCAGAGCTTGATATCCAGCTTGGCCCATTGAAAACCAGGCACGTGGTGGTCTGCCACGTCAATATCCTTTCTCTATTCGTACGCCAAACCACACCCAGAGGAGGGAGGAGCTTCCCTTCGCTGTCCTGTGCGTCCATCACCGCAGCCAACCTTCTCCCGTCCCCCGTCTCCCCCTATCCCACCCCATCTCGAAGGGATCACCACAGCAAGAAAACATCAAGGCCAAGGCTGATTGCACAAAACGAGTTTTTGTGAAGCATTACGGATCTCCAGTGGAGTATCTTGCTCTTCTTGCAAGACGTGTTCTTGTTCATTACGACCTGCCTGACTCAGCTCGTCGAGCCCTAGGCTGCGTAACGAAATGGCGCTAATGGCTGCGACCGTGTGCCCTGCATTAGTTGCTCCTGTTTCAGTCGCTGCTACAGCCCGTCAACATGCTGTCTGCAGGGGTAAGTCATATTCTTTTTTTCTCGGGCTAGGTCTTCGGTTCAGGCCTCTCCCTCCCTCCCTCCGTTCCTCTCTCTCTCTCTCTCTCGCTGCACGTGCGCTGCTCTCTCTCCCTTCCCCTCTCTCGATCTCTCCCTATTTCCCCCTTCTCCCTCCCCTTCCTTCCTCCTCACCCACTCTCTCCCCTTCTCTCTCCTCCGTCTCGCCTCCTTCCGCCCTCCCAGTCTTTCGGCCTCCATCACTCCTCGTCCCTCTCTTCTCTTGCTCCCCTCTCTCTCCAAAATTTGTTGCCTCCTCTCATCGGCACTCGTCCGTCCCAACCCCGATACCTGTCTTCTATTGACGCGTCAAACAACCCCTCCGCAGGGCCCATCCGAAGCGCCTTCCTGGGAGCATCTCCTGCCGGGTCCCTCAGACACAGCGCTGCGGTCTCCTTCACGGCCCCCAAGCTTCGATCCAGCCGCCAGGGTTCGTCGCGGGTGGTGTGCGGGTTGTTCGGCCTGGGCGTCCCGGAGCTGCTTGTCATCGGCGGTGTAGCGCTCGTGCTCTTCGGCCCAAAGAAGCTTCCTGAAGTTGGCAAGGGTCTAGGAAAGACCGTCAAGGGCTTTCAGGATGTGAGTGATGTTGAAGTCATGACTGCTCGCCTCTTTTTTCCGTGTGGAAAGTTCAAGCAACTCGCAGCAATACTATTTGCTGCGGAAAGTGTTGAGACGCAAAAGAGCACACGCGATGGTCCCTTGCACACGGAAAGTCTTACAACTAGCAATAACCTTTTGAAATGCTATCCGTCGCTTTCAACGGACCCACACATAAAAATGCACTAATGACGTTGGATACTGCTTTGTCTCGTCAAATGTGTCTCTTTGTGATATGTGGTTCACCCGATGGTTGTCGTGTTGCAGCATGCACGCATTTTCACGAATCAGCAGTTACAAGCGCACTTCATGCACGCATGACGTGGCAACTTATTTCCTGTTTGGTTTCATGGTTTCCTGTTTATCCAGTCTTAAGGTAGTGCGCCTGAACTTTCGCAGCCTTAGTGTTGTGCCCGTTCAGACCCATGCATCCTCGCTCTTGCACCTCCGCCTTAAGGTTATAAGCATCAGCAGCTTTATTGACTTACCCAATCTTTTTCTTTATTTTCCACAGGCGGCAAAGGAGTTTCAGTCAGAGCTGAAGGCTGAGCTGAAGGATGATGCGGAGACCACTGATGCAGCCAAGGCTGCTGTGCCCCCCCCTGCAACCCCTGCGGCTCCTGCAACCCCTCCTTCCTCCACCACTCCCAGTGACAAGAACTGACTGATCAAATGATTGCACAAAAAAAGAAATCTGGCTGTTTGGATTTGGTTGGAGCCTTAGATTGGCGTGTTTGGTGTGTTGAGAAGCCTTGTGATGTAGTTAGTGTTTTACAGTTATTCGGCTTGTGTTAGTACGAAAGGCCGTGCTGCGTTAGCAGTGAATGTTGTATTTAGTATTGCAGTACCTGTGCCCCTTTTCAGGTTAGATGTTTCCTGTCTCAGAGCTGTGAAAAGGACATCATCAGCAGCTTGCTATGTTCATTTTATCATAAGCAGCACGCTCATGAATCGCAGTCTCTGTTGTCGGCTCTACACCCCGTGCACTGTTGCCCAGCTAGTGAGTAACAGCCGTAAACATGCTGGTTCTCCAAGCAGGTCGCACATCAGGAATCTGACCACTGGAGTGTCTGGTGGCCCCTGTTATGTAGGCAAGGCAACATAGCTCCTTATTGAGCGTTACGGCCGGCGTGTCGACCACGTCCATTTGGTATTTGAAAGCGTTGCGACGGCAGTGTTGTAGGATTTTCATCGAAGAATCGTCGCACAGATGGGTGGCGGAGAGTACCAGTTATCGTTCGAGTCGTTCGCACATGACGAGGACGTGAGTTAATCTTGTCGCGTTCTTTGTTAGTCCCATCCGTCCCGTGTGGTACTCCGTTTCCTCGACCTGTTCACGAGTTCTGAATAAAGCCTGACTTGGACTCGAGATCGATCTGTGGCGCGCTGAGTCCCTTCAGCTTCTTCCTTTATTCTCATCTACTCGATGACTGGTTTTCTGATTTTTGAGCCATTCCCCACTCATCCCAACTTCCTGCCTGACCAATTTGACGCCCTAGTGACGCAAATTACTGGCGAATCCCGTTGTACTTCACTCATATCGCAGTTAGTCAATATCCTGTTGTGATATCACACATCCACCATCAGATTGTCGTATATCCAGCTTGAACCCCTGAATTCATATTACCAGCGAATATCAACCCCACTTACATCGAGCCGCCATCCCACAAATATCCCCCAACCCAGGTGCGAGGGATTGCTGTGATCGGCGAGGATTGCTTTGCCACGTCATCCCGGGACAAAACCGTCAAGCTGTGGCGGCGCGCGCCAGCGTCCACGTCAGCAAGATCCGCAACGGGCAGCGAATTCGGCCTAGATAAAACCCTCGTGGGTCACACGAGCTTCGTGGGACCCCTGGCATGGATTCCTGGACAACAATCTCCTGCAGGAGCAGGGGGAGGAGGGGAGGGCTCGAGTGATGCTGCAGGAGCCGGGAAGGGTGTGCTAGTATCGGGGGGAATGGATTGTTTGGTTTTGGTGTGGGATTTGGAGGCTGGGGAGGTGGCGCAGCGGTTGGCTGGGCATGAGCAGCAGGTGACTGGTATCACGGCGACGGCAGCAGGGGACATTGCAACATGTTCTGTGGACAAGTGAGTGAGTGCTTCTTCTTGCTGTGGAACAGAGTTGACTTTTGAGTTGACCCAAAAGTCAACTCGGTATCATGGCGACGGCAGCAGGGGTCATTGCAACGTGTTCTGTGGACAAGTGAGTTCTTCTTCTTGCTGTGGAACGTCCTTTGTATCCAAGCTCTGTTTAAGAAGAAAAGAAAAAGAAAGTATGGTATGGCATGGTACAGTATGATATGATATGGTATGGTATGGTATGGTATGGTATGGTATGTTATGGAATGGTATGGTATGGTATGGAATGGTATGGTATGGTACGGTGTCAATTGACAATTTGCGTCTTGTTTATTGACCAGTTATTTGTGCTTGCCCCTCCCCGTTTAACCGAGAATCCACACAATCCCCCCTTTCGTCTTTCTGCTCTGTGTTTCTCCTGCACCCCCCACCTCCCCCCCTTGTCAGGTCCATTCGGGTGTGGCGAGACGGGCACTGCCAGCAGCAGCTATCAGGCCATGAGTCCTCAGTGCTGTGCCTTGCCGCTGCTCCCAACGGGCTTCTCTTCTCAGGTCACACCCCTCACTCACACTCCCTCGGCCCCCATCGTTTTTCGAGTCGACTAAACATTCAGGCCACGAGCCATCAGTGCTTTGCGTCGCTGCTGCTCTGCTGCTCCCAACGCACTGCTCTTCTCAGGTCCCACTGCCATTCACGTTTCCTCTCCTCTTGTCGCCACCTCCCTCGATTTCTACCTCTTCCCCCCCTCTCCCGCTCCCTCTTGTCCTCCCTTGCCTGCCCGTTCCCCCCCTCTCTGTGTTGTGTGCATGTGCGTGGGTGGCATGTGTTTGTGTGTGCGTGTGAGCACATACAGGGTCAGGAGATTGCACCATTCGTTGTTGGGACGGCTCCTCCTGCATCAAGTCCGTCCGGGCGCATTCAGGTGCCCCCTTCTCTCCCCCCGGCCCCCACACTTCCCTCCCCCTCTCTTGCTCCACTATCGCAATCCCCGCTCCCCACCCGTCGTTCTCCCTGTCCGCCCCCCGGTCTGTTCTTTGCCTGTTCCTTTCCTTACTCTCCTTCCCCCTCCCACTAACTTCGACCCCATTCATGTTTCTCTCCCTGATTCCCCCGTCGCTAGTTTTCCTGTCACTACACTCACCTTCACATACCTGCCTTGCACGTCCCCCTTACCATCCCACCTCATTCACCTCTGCATCCCTGCCCTGCAATTCTTTACTCGGATGGGATGTTTTCTGAGACGCTGTAAGTGTCGCGCCGCGACATCGTGCCATGCCACATTCCCCGCCCATCCCTGCCTCACCATGCACGAGAGCGTGTGTGTGTGTTCTCCACCACGTGCCTTTTCATTCAGTTCGTTCCAGTCCTGCTTCCCTCCAGCTTCCCCGCCCATCTCTCCATCCACCGTAGGGTTCCTGAATGAGCCTGATCTCCACGAGCTGCGTGTGTGTATGTTTACGTGTGCGTTGCGCCATCGTTGTTGTTGTGTGTGCGTGCCTGCGTGCGAGTGAGTGTGTGTGTGTGTGTGTGTGTGCACGTGTGTGAGTGTGTGTGTGTGTGTGTACGTGTGTGTGTGTGTGTACGTGTGTGTGTGGGTGGGTGGGTGTGTGCGTGTGTGTGTGTGTGCGTGTGTGCGTGCGTTCGTATGTGTATGGTGTGTGTGTGTTGCCGTGTGCTGTGTGTGTGTTTTTGCACATCTTCCCATGCACCAGACTCTGTGCGTGGCCTTGCAATGCTGCCAGCAGTTGGTCTCCTCTCAGCCTCCCATGATGGGTGCGTGGGCTTGTTGATCATTGGGGTGGATGGGTGGTTGGGTGGGGATGGATGAGTCGATGACTGGGTGGATCCCTGGATCTTGGTTGACTGAATATATATGGTGGGGTTGGAATAAAGGGTGATGTGGGTGGGTATACGGATCATGAGTTACATGCACGTTATTTCCTGCGTTCACTGTCGTGGCAACAGTTGTGCAGCATCTTGCCCTTCCCCCCGCCCCTCCTCAACCGCTCAATGTGTCACCATGTAGCAAGTTTCCTGTGTCATTCATCCACCCACCTCCCTCTCTCCCATACTCTTGGTCCCGATCTCAGTCCCACGTATCTTTCAAAACATGACTTCTGGCTGTTTCCCTCTTCTGTTACTTTGTTTTTCTCCTCAGTTTCCCGCCCAAGTCTCGTGTCTCTCTGTTATCTCCCTTTCGCTCGCTCTCTCTACCTTCTCCCTTCTCTGCACCCCCGATCCCCCGCAGGTCTGTGAAGCTATGGGATCTATCCCTCCAGCCGCTGCTGGAGATGGTGGGGCACACAGCGCTGGTGTACTCAGTGGCAGCCACAGCAGGGGGCGATTTGTATTTCAAGTAAAGTAGTAACCTTTCTTCTTCACCCTCTCGCCCACCCCTTGCCAGCTCTGTGAAGCTATGGGACCTGTCGCTGCAGCCGCTGCTGGAGATGGTGGGGCACACAGCGCTGGTGTACTCAGTGGCATCCACAGCAGGGGGCGAGCTCATTGCGTCGGCCAGTGAGGACGCCACTGCCCGCGTGTGGAAGGGTATGCAAGTGGTTGTGATGTTGCAGGGAGGGGTGGGAGGGTTGGGAGGGACGGGAGGGAAGGGAGGGTGACGGGAGGGACGGGAGGGACAGGAGGGACAGGAGGGACAGGAGGGACAGGAGGGACAGGAGGGACAGGAGGGACAGGAGGGACAGGAGGGACAGGAGGGACAGGAGGGACAGGAGGGACAGGAGGGACTGCACGTGTGTGGGAGGGTTGTGTTCCTGTTGGGAGGGATGGGAGGGATAAGATGATGGGGCACACAGCGCTGGTGTACTCAATGGCAGCCACAGCACGGGGCGAGCTCATTGCGTCCGCCAGTGAGAACGCCACTGCCCGCGTGTGGAAGGGTATGCGAGTGGTTGTGATGTTGCAGGGAGGGGTGGGTGGGAGGGTTGGGAGGGACGGGAGGGGACGGATGGTGCGGGGAGGGGCGGGAGGGACAGGAGGGACTGCTCGCATGTGGAAGGGTATGCGAGTGGTTGTGATGTTGCAGAGGCGGATGAGAGGGTTGGGAAGGAGGGATGGGAGAGATTAGAGGGACGGATGGGAGAGATGGGAGGGATGGGAGCGATGGTAGGAAATAGTTGTTTCGTCATGGATTGGAAGCACGGTGGTAGCACACTCTTCACAAAGGCCACTTCCTTCCTTTTTTGAGGCGCCTAAAAAATCGTCCCAGTTCACGCGGTTTTGAGGCGCCTCAGGAAGCACAGTGATAGCACACTCTTCACAAAGGCCACTTTCTTCCAATTGTTGGCGTATCCTATCCACATGCCTTCATGATTATTTCTGATGCGTTCGCAATGATGCATTCGCAATGATGCATCTGCAATAACACCCCTTTTCTGTGAGCCAACAGCAAAGTTCCTTTCTCCTCTCCCCTTATCGTCATGTCTGCACGGCGTGACTTATCTGTGGTTTAGAGGGCGAGTGCGTGCAGGTACTGGAGCATCCTTCCTGCGTCTAGTCTGTCGCATTTTCATCTTAAAACTCTCTTTTCTCCTCTGCCCTTCTCGTCATGTCTCTGCTGCTGTAACCCGCCTGTCTGTCTGTCGGTCTGTCTGCGTATCTGTCGGTCAGACGGCGAGTGCATGCAGGTATTGGAGCATCCTTCATGCGTCTGGGCGGTCGCCTTTCTCCCTAATGGAGACCTCATCACAGCTTCTGCGGATGGTGCTTTCCGCATATGGACAAGAGACGCCGCCCGCGTGGCACCAGAGGGCCTGCGGTCCAGCTATGAGGAGAGGGTGAAGGCCAGTAGGAAGAAGTGAGCCGCTTCTGCCCCTGGTTGTCTTTTGTTGCTGCTTTTTTCCTTTTTTTCCCTCCTGCCCTCCCTCCCTCCTCCCTCCTGTGTTCTCTCCTTCTTACCTCAGCTCTTGCTCCCTCTGCCTCCCCCTTATGCCTCCCCCTTATGCCTCCCCCTTATGCCTCCCCCTTATGCCTCCCCCTTATGCCTCCCCCTTATGCCTCCCCCTTATGCCTCCCCCTTATGCCTCCCCCTTATGCCTCCCCCTTATGCCTCCCCCTTATGCCTCCCCCTTATGCCTCCCCCTTATGCCTCCCCCTTATGCCTCCCCCTTATGCCTCCCCCTTATGCCTCCCCCCTCTGCCTTGCTCTTACAACCTCAGGAATGTATACGAACACAAACTAACTCATTGCACACGCATTCGCACGCACACATGCTAGCATGCATGCACACGCCCATGGCTGGATCGTAACGTACTCACTACTTGTCCGTGTCTCATGGAGGTGGTTTCAGTGGTTTTCAGTAACGGGCTTTATTCCGACGCACCTGCTTACCCTGTCCCTGTCCCTGTGCCTCCCTTTGGCTCTGGCAGGAAGACAGTGGGGGGTGTGAATGTGGACGAGCTACCAGGCATTGAAGCATTGCAACAGCCAGGTGAGCGAGATGACTGAGAATATTCTCACAAGTACCACCCAAAGGTGACGAAGGTGATTTCTGAGTTGACTCGATGTACCTTGGGAGGACAGTGGCGGGGGTGAATGTGGACGAGCTGCCAGGCATTGAGTGAAGCTTTGCAACAACCAGGTGAGATGCCTGCGAATTGTGTTGTAGTCTGTATGATCGGCATCTATATGGTTGTCACCTGCAAACTGTGTGCATATTACTACATGTGCATCACCACATGTGGATCACCACTTGTGCATCACCACATGTGCATCACCACATGTGCATCACCACATGTGCATCACCACATGTGCATCACCACATGCGTATCATTGTATGTGCTCCATCTGTGTGCATCACCGTATGTGCATCACCACTGTTTGTGCACGGTTACAATGGGAGGCAGGTCACAAGGATGGGCAGACACTGATAGTGCGGGAGAACGATGTGGGGGTGGCGTACCAGTGGAGCCAAAAGGAATTCAACTGGGAAAAGGTGGGTACAACGAGCATGTGCGCGCGCCTGCTGTTTTGCTTGTCTGTTCTTTTTTCGGTGAATGTTTGTGTGTGTGTTGAATTGAACTTGGTTGCTGTGTTGTGTTGTGCAGATAGGGGAGGTGGTGGATGGTCCGTCGGAGCCTGTCGATGCAAAGATGTATGAGGGCAAGCAGTACGACTACGGTGCGTGCGTGCGTGCTTCAAGTTGTAAAGATGTATGAGACGTCTCAAAAAATGACGTATGAGGGCAAGCAGTACGACTACGGTGCGTGCTGCTGCTGCTGCCCCTGCTGCTGCTGACACTGCTTTGCTGCTGCTGCAGCAGCTGCTGCTGCAGCAGCTGCTGCTGTTGCTGCTGCCGCTGCTTTGCTGCTGCTGCCGCCGCCGCCGCTGCTGTTGCTGGCGCCGCCGCCGCGGTCACCGCCGCTGCCACCACCACCGCTGCTGCTGCTGCTGCTGCTGCTGCTGCTGCTGCTGCTGGTGCCTCTTTGTTCATTTAAGGGGGGCTACCTCTGACATTGTACTCGCATATGGACGACTGCTTTCTTTAGCTGATGCCTTGCTGTCGCTTGTGTCTCACTCCCACTGTCTCACTGCTGTGCTTCTCACTCTCTCACTCTCTCACTCTCTCACCCACCCACCTCTCGTCACCCATGCAGTCTTTGACGTGGACATTGGCGATGGAGTGCCAGTGCGCAAGCTGCCATACAACCACGGAGGTCCGTCGTGTTCTGTTTTGTCCTGTCCTGTCCCGTCCCATCCCGTCCCGTCCCTCTCAATTCCGTCCCCATCCCATTCTGTCTCTCATTCAATCATCTGCGGCCTTTTTCCGTTTTGTGCCACTGGTTTGGTTTGCCCTTTGCACCAGTGGCCCTCTCCGCCCTCGCCCCGCTTCCCCCGCATTTTCTGCTCTCCCCCTTGCCCCCCCTTACGACACCAGACAACCCATACGACGTGGCGGACAAGTGGTTGCTATCGCAGGACCTGCCTCTGGGGTACCGAGAGCAGGTGGTGGACTTCATACTGCGCAACACAGGCCAGGCCAGGGTCCCACTATCCCCCTCCCCCACCTTTACCAAACAGCCAGACCATTATGAAACGCCTGCTGCGACAGACTTTCGGGAATCCCCAAGTCTTCCTCTTCTTTTCATCCTATTGTGTGTCCTCCTCCCCCTCGACCCTCCCCTCCCTCTCCCCCCATCCCCGCCACACCAGACAACCCATACGACGTGGCGGACAAGTGGTTGCTATCACAGGATCTGCCTCTGGGGTACAGAGAGCAGGTGGTGGACTTCATACTGCGCAACACAGGCCAGGGGCCTACAATGCCGCTCGGGGCCACCATTCCCGACCCCTACACTGGCGGTGCGTGAGAGCGAATGTATGTGTGTGCGTGTGTCGTTTTTGGTGTGTGCGGCTCTTGACGCGCCTAAAGGGGCCTACAATGCCGCTTGGGTTGGGGCCACCATTCCCGACCCGTACGTACACTGGCGGTGCGTGTGTGCGTTGTCATAGTCGTGTCAATGTACTACCCATACCTGGACCCATACCCGGAACTACACCCGGACCTATACCCGGACCCATACTTGGACCGGAATCATACCCAGACCCATCCTTGGACCGGAACCATACCCAGACCCATATCACCGTGCCTTCCTGCACATGCTGCTGCCCATGCGCCCATGCGCCCGCTTCCCCGTCTCTCTCGCCTCTCGATAACTCTGCCTTGTGCCTTCTTGCTTGTTGCTGCCCATGCCCCCATGCACCCCTCATCCCTAAAATTTTTGACTCTTCAGGGAAATGCTTTTGAGAGAGATCAGGATACTTGCTAGTGTGTTGTGTGCCTCTCGTCCTCCTTTTCTCGCACCCGTGTCTCACTTACCCCCCTGGCATTTGCGACTTGCCTGCTTGCCTGTCGTTCTATCTATCCATCACCAGGGCAAGCATACGTTCCATCGGCAACACCCTCCTGGGGCGGACCCACTCCTGCCTCACGAGGCCCTGCCCAAGCCCCACCAGGTAACTCCCGAGGCGCCTCAGAAATCATTTCAGGCCCCACCACCAGGTAACCTCCAAGGCGCCTCAGAACTCTGTCTGTCACGAGGCCAAGCATACATCCGATCTGCCGTACCGTACCCTCCTGGGGTGGACTTACCCCTGCTTCACAAGCCCCTGTGCAAGGCCCACCAGGTAACTCATGGTAATGCAAGTCTGGATTGTCATCACTGGCTGGCTGGCGCAACTGACGAACAACTAGCACTGCACCCACATTAACCAGCACTGAGTAGCACAGCACACTGTGATGAGCCTCCTGTTGGGTTCACCTTGTCGAAACCGATTTTCTCTCCGCACCTTAGAATCTCTCCTGATCCATGTTTTCGTTGACTGGCGGGCCTAGTCTAATTCACCTTCGTTTTGCCATGCTGGGTTGCGTTGACTGAATGATGCTAGGCTTGGTTGCATTGACTTGGTTGACTAGTTTGACTGGTTTGACTGCATTGATTCGTTCTGCCCTTGCGACCTTCTGCTCCAGCATCACTCTCCAAGGGTTTATTATCGTCTCTATCCCTGAATGTTGTTTGTTCCATTCTCACTTTCTTCCCCATATGCTGGTGGTTTAATCTGTTTTTCTTTCTCCTGTAAACCTGCCTCTTCACATTGTCTGTCCTCCAATCAGCAGCACCTGCAGCGGTGGCAGCACAACCACCACAGGAGAAGCTGTTCCCGAAGGTTGGTTGGTCGGTTAATCAATCGTGTGGTTGGTTGGTTGGTTGCTGTCCATGTTTAACTTCTGTGCCTCCCATCCATTGCTGTTGCTTGTTATGTCATGCCATCCCATGCCATCCCATGCCATCTCATGCCATTTCATGTGCCATGACATGCCATTTCATGTGCTGTGTCATGCCATGTCACGTGGCGTGTCTTGCCATCTCATGCCATGTCACGTGGCGTCTCTTGCCATCTCATTCCATGTCACGTGGCGTGTCATGCGACAGCATGCCATAACATGCCATGTTTGTGCAAGACATGCACATGCGATGCGGCACCACAGGTGTCTGTGAATGGGGGCATGCAGTCTGTGTGTTGCGATATCAGGTTGAAGGATGTCATGTCTTGTCTTGTCATGTCATGTCTTGTCTTGTCATGTCATGTCATGTCATGTCATGTCATGTCATGTCATGTCATGTCATCTTCTAATGTGTCTTTACTTGTCCTGCCATCCTCCAACTTCCCCCTCCCACCTGCCCTTCTCCATCCGCTCTCTCTTCTACCACTCCCCCCCCCCCTCTCTCCTCTCCAAACACCCAGAGGGGCTACCTGGTGTTTGACTCGGCGCAATATGACGGCATCATGAAGAAGCTCAAGGAAGTCAACACTGCCCTTGCATCACAACCACCAGCACAAGTCAATTCAGAAGTCAACTTTCTTCCCCCCCCTTCCCCTCCCCCACTTATACACCCAGAGGGGCTACCTGGTGTTTGACTCAGCGCAATACGACGGCATCATGAAGAAGCTCAACGAGTTCAACACTGCTCTTGCATCACAACCATCACCGTCGTCATCGCCATCGCCTGTGGTGCTATCAGAAGAGCAGCTGGAGCAGCTAAACGGATTGGTTTCTGTTCTCAAGGACACCTCGCACTACCACTCCTCCTCCTTTGCCCCGAATCACTACGCGCTGCTCTCTTCCCTGCTCTCAACCTGGCCTGCTGCCAACCTCTTCCCAGGTCTGCGCTGTGCTGTGCTGTGCTGTGCTGTGCTGTGCCGTGCTGTGCTGCATTGCCAGTCTCCTCCTGCTCTGCTCTCATTGTCGTGTGAGTGCAGTTCATGCTACTTGTTTGTATTGCTGTTTTTACCACGAAAGGCATTGCTCCACGTGTCCTCCCTACATCGCCTCATTTCCCAGCTCCCACCACTCCACTCCTCTCCACGCTTTTTGAATCCTCTCCTTTTCCTCTCCTTTTCCTTTCCTCTCCTCTCCTCGCCTCTCCTCTCCTCTCCTCTCCGCGCCTCTCCTCTCCTCTCCGCTCCTTTCCTCTGCCCCCAGTGTTGGACCTGCTGCGGATGATGCTGTTGCATCCTTCAGGCGCTGCCTGGTTTGCTGCCAATGCCTCTGGGCCAGGTGCGTGTGCACTCACTCATGCACTCACTCATGCACTCACTCGCTCGAGCACTCACCAACTCATGCACTCTTCTCCATTGCACTCTCCATTCGCCATTGCTTTCCCACCCTTTTAAGAGGTTTTGTTTGTTTGTTTGTTTTTTTTTTCTCTCTCTATCTCTCAAAAAAAAAAAAGAATCCTTGTCAAATTCAACCCACCTGCCGCCGCATCCCTTCTGCACCCCTCCCCTCAGAGGGCATACTTATGGCATGTGTGCGCAGGGCAGCAAATGTTTGAGGCGTCTCAGTACCCACCTTCTGCATTCCATCTTCTGCTCCCCTCCCCCTCTCCTCCCAGACGGCATGCTCATGGCATGTATGCGCAGAGCAGCAGCGGACCCACCCACACTCTGAATCTTGAGTCGACCCAAAAGTCAAACTCTTTACCTTCCGCATTCCATCTTCTTCCCCCCTCCCCCTCTCCTCACAGACGGCATGCTCATGGCATGTATGCGCAGGGCAGCAGCGGACCCACCCACACCCGCCAACCACCTCACGGGCGTGCGCGTGGCAGTCAATGCGTTTGGCCTTCCTTCCATGCACCACTGGCCTCGCCAACACCGCGCAGAGGTCCCGCGCTTGCCTTTCCTCTTTTTGTTTTTTCTCTCCCCCCCCCTTTTGTTTTTGCAAGTGATTTTTTTTATTTGGCTCAAAAGTCGAGACTTGGTCTGAGAGTCATCTTGATTGTCGTACTCACCGCTCTCCCTGACCACCCTGTCCACCATCTTCCCCATTTCCCTGTTCTGGTCGCCTTCCCCTTGCCATGCCATGCCCTGTGTGTTGTACCTGCCAAGACACTCATAAGCTCGCTCTCTAGCCTCACCATTAGCACCCCTCACTTCGCCCCTCACTGCGCCCCTCTCTGCGCCCCTCACTGCGCCCCTCACTGCGCCCCTCACTGCACCCCTCACTGCGCCCCTCACTGCACCCCTCACTGCGCCCCTCACTTCTCCTCTCGCTTCTCCCTCACTCCATCCCTCAATCCATCACTCACTCCCTCTTTCTGCTCCCGATTCCCTCTGTCCGTCTCAGGTTCTCGACCTCTTCGCCCCCTGTGTCTCTTCCTCCAATAAGAACGTCCGACTCGCTCTCGCCACTCTCCTGCTCAAGTCAGTCCGATCTCCCCGCTGCTGTTGAACACTTCATTCAATATTTACCGTCCAATTATCCGTTTTTGCCACTCCATTCAACCAACCTCGTCCTTGTGCCAGTCCATTTGCCACTCCCATCATTCGCATCACTATCTGTCTCATATGTCACTCGAGGCGCTGACCTTCGTACTGCCATGCATCACCGGCTGTGCTGTGTTGTCCGCCCACCATGTCACCTCCAGCTACGCAGTGCTGCTGGTGGATGGCGCAGCAGCAAAGGGAGAGGACCAGGAGGAGGGCCAAGTGCAGACCCTCTCTGCTGCCTTTGAGGTGAGCCTGTCTGTGCTCCCCGCTTTGCACAAGATCCTCTGATTCCTTTTCCTTATGCAAGGCTCTTTGTTTGTCCATGCACACACACCCATGCACGTGGATCCTTGCGTCGCCCGTTTGTCATACACGCTTTCCAGTTATCACTGCCATCCCTTTCTGATCGTCTCCCATCCCTTGCATGCCTCTCAAATCCACACACCCCCTAACATCGTCGCTGTCTGCGCATCCCTGTCTTGCAACTAGCTGACTTGTTGAGTTGACTCAAAATGACTTTGGTTCAACTCGAAACCCAACATTGTCGCTGTCTGTGCATCCCTACTTCTGCAACTTGAGCAGCATTTGATCACACAGCAGTATGCCCGCCCTTCCCCCATCTCTCGCCCCTCCCATACCTCCCACTCGACCTTTTCTCACTCTCCCCCATACTATCCACACATCTCCGTACAGCTGGCAGCAGCATCGGAGGCCGATCCGGAGGTCCGCTACCGGGCACTGCTTGCCATTGCCACTCTTGTGAGCGCTCCACTTCACAGCCTCTCACACACTCCTGTCTTGTCTAAGAGCTCTCTCTAAGCTCCCTCAACCCCTCGCAACTGACTTCAGAACACTGCTGACCCTCGCCTTCTCACTCTCACACGCACTTTTGGATAGTAATCTATCCGTTGATAACACACTGGGTGGGCTTCACAGCATCACCAGCCCACCACCACTGGCACAGCTGTCCCCTGGTCAGGTTATCATCCCCACCTCTAGCATCACTACTTAGCCTCCTTTCTGAAAGCGCCTCAAATACCACCTCCACCATATGCATTGAAACGATGTTAGAGGCGCCTCAAAAAGCGTCTCAATGCATACCACCTCCACTCCACTCCACTACCAGCATTTACGTACCAAGGCTCTCTGTCGCTTTGAATCTTCCTATTCCCTCAGCGCACTCTTGCCCAGTTGCTATCATGGTATAGGAGAAGGTATAACATTCCTCTGCGATCCCCCCTCTTCCTGATCCCTTCTCCTTTCCCAGCCTTCTTGACACTCCCTCACCCCTTGCCCGCTCTCGGATGCACTGTGGGGTGGTGAGGGAGGGTGGAGATGGGGGCAGCAGAGCAGAGGGCATTCAGGCAGTAGCAGCAATTTTCTAGCAGACTAAAAAAATATTTCATGCCTATCCCGAGTCTCTCATTCCTCTCACCCGCTGCTCTCTTTCAGATGCACAGCGGCGTGGTGAGGGAGACAGCAGTGGAGATGGGAGCAGCAGAGGTGGTTCAAGCAGCAGCAGCAGCCACAGCCACCAACACTCTACCGCAGCTCGGCAGAGAAATGAAGTCGCTAATCGGCTGACGGAACGAGTGTTCTGCATCGCCATTCCATTGCCCTGCTGCTGGTGTTGTGTAGTGTGGTGTGGTATAGTGTGGTGCTGTGACTTGAGTCGTGCAGCAACCGCGTAGTACAGGTATATGAAGCTGGTTGCTGCGGTGTAGAGGCATTGATCTAACCCATGGTGTGTTCTTTTCTTCCTTGTAGCGACTCTCTCACTGGAGTCCCAGGACCACGGATTGTGTCTCTCAGCGACTCGCAAGAGCTTTGACTTGTACCGTATATGAGTTGCATGTGGGATGTGGTGTGGTGTGGTTGGGCTGTCCATGCAAACACGTGATTTCTGATGCACACCAGTTTCAATCCCAACTCACCTTAGCAGCTACACACCACAGTACATGGCTGATTAGGTTTTGGCTGAAAAAACACTGCAGGATGATTAATGAGGGTACAGTAGCTCTGACAGTGGCCCCAAGAATTCTAGCGTTTTTAAAAGGGATACAAAGCATTTCAACACCTTAAATAGCCTCAGAATACATAGAAGACAAAAAAGAATTATGGACCTACAACACACAGTGAATATTCTCTCCATTTTCAAGCTAAAGCACTTCCTCTAAGGCTGGCCTAAAAGAGTATTGTCTCTGTAATTCCACTGTTGCTCGGTTACCTCAACTCATCCACCCTGCAAGGGAGAGGAGGCAACACCACCATGCAATACACTATAATTCCTGAATGAACAAACGCCTTCACTACTGTATCACACAAGTACTGGGTAACCTTGTGTGTAAGGTACGGTACACAAAACATGCTCCATCCCCCGTAGCTTTCTTGAGACTGGAAGTCTGAAAGATGGTCGGATGGGCGTACGGTGGGGCGCTAACAGCATAAAACGGACCCACAGTTACTGGTATGATGCTGCTGCTGCTGCTGCTGCCCCAGTTGCTTATTTCCGAGGCTGCCGCCATTAGAAAAAAAAACCTTGCTAATCCACCTAACGTAAACCATGCATGCTATGCCATCACATAGCCCTCCTCCTGTGCATGTGTGCTTCGGTTCAGTCACCTGCTCCATCTTCTTCTGCCCCTCCTCCCCCCCCCCTCCACCAGTTTTGAGACATCTCAAAACTCCTCCTGTGCATGTGTGCTTCAGTTCAGTCACCTGCTCCATCTCCCTCCGCCCCTCCTCCCCCCCCTCCACCACTCACCTCCCCTCTCCCTCGCCTCATATTCAACCTCACACGCAGCGCCTTAAGTCGAACCTGACTTCTCTCCTCCCCTCCCTCCTGCACGCTCCCACCCCCATCTCCCCACTGTACCTCCCCTCCACCACTTCTCTCATCCTCCCCCACTCCACTCCCTCTACTTCTCCCACCCTCCCCTCCCCCTCCTCCCCCACCCCCACCTCCATCCTCCCCCCCTTGCCCATCATTCACCCATCCCATGGCGCTCAATCGCCTTCTTTGAGGAGTGGGTCCTCTTCGTCTCTTGGCTGCTGTTCCCTCCAGGAAAACTGCCTCTCTCGACCCCCACCCGTTCCTCTCCTCTGCTTCTGACAAACCACCCTCCGCACCTGCTAGCATATCAGACCCCTCCCCTCCTCCTCCCCCCCCTGCTCGTCTCACCACACTTAACCCATTCCCTTCTCCTGCTCCTTCCTCCTCGTCGTCCTCGTCTTCTTCCACTGTTACTGGTGTTGCCACTGCAGCAGCAGCAGCAGCTGCCTCTGCTGCAGCCGCTGCCGCCGCCGCTGCAGCAGCTGCAGCTGCAGCCCCTGCAGCTCTACCTCTCTTACGTCCGCCCACTGCTACGCCAGCATCAGCAACAGCCACCACCCCAGCAGCACCCCCACCAGCAGCTGCAGCAGCAGCAGCAGCAGCAGCAGCAGCTGCGGCTGCGGCTGCTTTCCCTTTGCTTCTGCCTCCGGGTCTGGGAGGACGATCCGACTGTCTCTTGCGCTTGGATAAGGAGGCAAGGGAGCATTGTGGCATGGTGGTATGGGCCGGAGGGGAGCACAGCACAGGGGGAAGAGGGAACGGGGGCAGAGATGGGAACAGTGAGAGAAGGGGGAGCAGCAGAGAAAGGGGGACGGGAAGGTTGTGTGTCAAGCGAGGGAATAAAGAGCAAGATAGGAATGCACGAGACTGAAATCCGGGAAACGGCGGGGAACGCAAAAGGAGGGAAGTAATGGAGGTAGCGTGCACTGAACTCCCTGCACTGAACTCCCTCAAACCCTCACCTTATGCGAGCCTGCGCCTGCCCCCTCACCCCCTCCCACGACATCTCCCCCTGACACATTCTCTGACGCCCCCGCACCGCCATCTCTCCTCCCCGCTCCTCCGGACTCCTCGCCGCCCCTCGCGCCCTCCTCCTCTTCCACCGCCTCCCCTCCCTCTGCATCCAGCCGGATCTTCTTCGACCCACGCCTCCGCCGCCGATCCTGGAAGGAGGCGGCAAGTAAGGAGGAGGGGAAAACAGAGAAGAGTTTACGGGATGATTGTTCCAGTGGGTGCTACCACTCAGCTTTCCTTTCATCACCGGTTGTGGCGACTCTCCCCTCCCTCTGCATCCAGCCGGATCTTCTTCGACCCACGCCTCCGCCGCCGATCCTGGAAGGAGGCGGCAAGTAAGGAGGAGGGGAAAACAGAGAAGAGTTTACGGGATGATTGTTCCAGTGGGTGCTACCACTCAGCTTTCCTTTCATCACCGGTTGTGGCGACTCTCCCCTCCCTCTGCATCCAGCCGGATCTTCTTCGACCCACGCCTCCGCCGCCGATCCTGGTAGGAGCCACGGGTTGGGAAAGAAAGGAAAGAAGTCAAGGGATGATTGCTCAGCGGGGTGCTACCCCAACCCTTCTCCCTACCCCCCCTCCAAGTTCCTCCATCGAATACCTACTTCCCTCCCACCCCCTTTTTTACACCTACCGAGTGCTGTTTGGCAGCGACAGCCTGCTCCTCCTGCTGTGCCTTCAGCTGAGCCTCTCAACCCCAACCCCTCCCCATCCTCCCTCCACCCCGTCAGCACCTCACCCTTCCCCCTTCCCCAACCCTCCACCTACCGAGTGCTGCTTCGCAGCAGCCTGCTCCTGCTGGGCTTTAAGCTGCGCCTCCAGCTCAGCATCGTCCAGCAGCAGCGACACCACCTCCTCTGCATGATCCATCCCGTTCCCCCCACCCCAGACACCCCAATCCCGTTCCTCTGCATGAACTTACCGAGTGCTGTTTGGCTGCAACCCCTCCTCGCCCCTAACTCCCCCCCTCCTCCCCCCATTGACTCCCTCCCTCCAACCAACCCCCTTTCCTTCCAAAACCTCTTTCCCCCCAGCCCCACCCACCCCCTCTTTCCACCTACCGAGTGCTGTTTGGCAGCAGCCTGCTCCTGCTGGGCTTTAAGCTGCGCCTCCAGCTCAGCATCGTCCAGCAGCAGCGACACCACCTCCTCCGCCTCAAACACCCTTCCTCTCCCCTCTCCCCCACAATGCTCCACCCTTCAGCTCCAGTAAGGCACTTACCGAGTGTTGTTTCGCAGCAGCCTGCTCCTGCTGGGCTTTAAGCTGCGCCTCCAGCTCGGCACCGTCCAGCAGCAGCGACACCATCTCCTCTGCATGCTCCATCCCGTTCCCCCACCCCAGACACCCCAATCCCGTTTCTCTGCATGAACTTACCGAGTGCTGTTCGGTGGAAACCCCTCCTCGCCCCTAACTCCCCCCCTCCCCCCCCCCCCCCTCCCCCCCCCCCCCCCCCCATTGACTCCCTCCCTCCAACCAACCCCCTTTCCTTCCAAAACCTCTTTCCCCCCAGCCCCACCCACCCCCTCTTTCCAACTACCGAGTGCTGTTTGGCAGCAGCCTGCTCCTGCTGGGCTTTAAGCTGCGCCTCCAGCTCAGCATCGTCCAGCAGCAGCGACACCACCTCCTCCGCCTCAAACACGTCGCCGCCACCCGTGCCGCCGCCGCCCGCCACCAGCCCGCCGCCCGCAGCGCCGCCCTGGCCGGTCATGACGAGCTGCTGCACGGTGTTCTTCTGGTTGGCGCGCTTCACTATCTTCTCCTCCACCGTTCCCCCACAGATCATTCGGTACACCGTCACCTGATGGGGGAAGAGGGGAGGGGGGAGGGAGTGGCAAAGGCGGGAGGGGGAGGAGAAGAGATAGGGAATGGGGAGAAAAGGAGTGGAAGGTGCTTAGAGTCGACTCTAAAGGCTTCTGGTTGGCGCGCTTCACTATCTTCTCCTCCACCGTTCCCCCACAGATCATTCGGTACACCGTCACCTGATGGGGGAAGATTAGGTGGGAGGGGGAGACAGGGGGGGGAGTGGAAAGGAACGACGCCATCAGGTTCATGCCCAGCCCCCCCTCTCCTTCTCCCTTCTGCCTTCTCCCTTCTCCCTTCTCCCTTCTCCCTTCTCCCTTCTCCCTTCTCCCTTCTCCCTTCTCCCTTCTCCCTTCTGCCTTCTCCCTTCTCCCTTCTCCCTTCTCCCTTCTCCCTTCTCCCTTCTCCCTTCTCCCTTCTCCCTTCTCCCTTCTCCCTTCTCCCTTCTGCCTTCTCCCTTCCCCTCTCACCTCCCACCTCTTCTCCTACTCCCTTTCCCCGCTTCCCGGCCCTCACTCCCCAGCCCACCCCCCCCTCTCTCACTTCGCGTGTCTGCCCCAGGCGGTGCGCGCGGTCCATGGCCTGCAGGTCCATGGTGGGGTTCCAGTCGCTCCATCCCCCCACTCGTGTCTCTTGCCCTCCTTTCCCTTTCCCCTTCCTGCCCCTATCCCCCCGTCCCCCTCCCTCCCCATGCACCCCACCCCAAGCCCCCTAATGCACCTCGCGTGTCTGCCCAAGCCTGTGCGCGCGGTCCATGGCCTGCAGGTCCATGGTGGGGTTCCAGTCGCTCTCGTAGAAGATCACCGTGTCTGCCGCCGTCAGGTTGATGCCCAGCCCGCCCCCTCCTCCTCCCTTCCCTTCTCACACTCACAGCTTCCCTACTCCCTCCCACTTTCCCCTTCCCCTCATTCCCCCCTTCCCCTTTGCCCCTTCTCCTTTCCTGATCCTCCATTCCTCCCCATCCCCCACTCCCTCCCCCTTCCCCATCCTCACCTCGCGCGTCTGCCCGAGCCGGTGGGCGCGGTCCATGGCCTGCAGGTCCATGGTGGGGTTCCAGTCGCTCTCGTAGAAGATCACTGTGTCTGCCGCCGTCAGGTTGATGCCCAGCCCGCCCGCCCGCGTGCTCAGCAGAAACACAAAGATCTCCGACCTGCACGGCGGTGGCAGGGAGGGAGGGGTGGGATGGGGTGGGATGGGTTGGGACGGGGAGGAGGGCGGAAAGGGAGCGAAGAGAGGCCCGATAGCACAGGGAAGTGAGCGAAGTCGGCCAGAAACAAATACTCGCCACCTGTGCTCGAATTACCAAAAAAGCCAGTACTTCTTTTCACCATCCTTTTTTGCTCAGTCTAAGGCTATTCTCGCTCCAACTTGAAAACTTCTCTAAGAGCCCCGCACCCACCCCACTCACTTGTGCTGAAAGTCTTTGACCATCTCCCTGCGGTCTACAATCGTGGACGAACCATCCAGTCGCAGGTACTTGTACTTGCGATAGTTCATGTAGTCCTGGGGGGGGAGAGGGGAGATCGAGGGGGAAGAGAACAGGGGCAGAGGGGGGTAAGGGCGAGAGGACGGATTTTGAGGCGCCTAAACAGTTGATTGAGGCGCAGGTACTTGTACTTGCGATAGTTCATGTAGTCCTGGCAAGGGCAGGGGAGGGGATGGAATAAGGGCAGAACGAGCAGGGTAGAAAGAAAACGGTGTGAATTCAATTAATCAACACAGGTACTTGTGTGCCTTTCCCCTTGCTCTCACCACCTCCTGTTTTCACCACCTGAAGCGAGGTTGGTTTTGAGACATCTCAAAAACAACCTCGCTTCACGTCCCCTTGCTCTCACCACCTCCTGTTTTCACCTCGCCCCCTGCTCACCTTGAGGATATTAAGCATCTTAGTCATCTATGAGAACAGCCTGTTTCTTGCACTCACCTCGAGGATGTTGAGCATCTTGGTCATCTGTGCGAACAGCAGCACTCGGTGCCCTTCAGCTCTCAACCGCCGCAACAGCACGTCCAGCTGATGCAGCTTGCCCGAGTCCTGGAGGGGGGAGAGTTACGGAGGATGGGGTTGGGGTTGTGGGGAACGAAGACAAAAGACTGCATGCAGCAGCGCGTGTGGCTGATGCTTTTGGAAATAAAATATGTTTGAAATCCTATCCTCCCTCCCTTCCTCCCTCCCTACCTCCCTCCCTCTCTCCCTCCTTCGCCCTCTCCCTCCCTCCTCCCTCTCACCGTGAGCATCTTCGAGAAGTCGAATATCTGGATAGGCGGAGATGAACCCTCCACATCAAACTGCGCACCCAGCAGCGGCCGCGGCAGCTGCAACTCCATCCCACCCCTCAAACCACCACCACCATCACCACCAGCACTCGCATCCGCCTCCCCTGTACCGCCCCCCACCACCTCCAATCCCCCCTGCTCCTCCCCCATCACTCCCAGCACCGGCGACGATGCCGGCGGGCGGACAGACAACCTCGCAGCCGGATCCGCAGGTAGAAACGGCCCAGAGTACTCATTCACACGCGTGAAACCCAGCAGGAGGCGGAGCGCCCACGGCGGGTAGAGCTGCTGCTGCTGCTGGTACGCAAACGAGCGGTCATGGCAGAGGAAGTCGATGGGGGGAGCGCGCACGGCAGGCATGAAGGTGCGGGTGGCACGGATGAGCGACGTGGCATTGTAGAGACGGTCTGGGAAGGAGGAGATGAGGGGGGATGGGAGGAGGAATGGCGGGTCCTTTGGCCAGCCGGTTAGCAGCGGCACTTGGTTGTCGCTGCTGCCGTCGCTGCCGCAGCCGCCGCCGCCGCTGTCGCTGCTGCTCTTGCCGTTGTTGTCAGCAGTGTTGTTCTGGTGAGAGTCGGCGCTTTTCAAGTTGTTAGTCTGCTCTCTGTCGTTGTTAGTCCGCTCCGGATTGCTCTGCCTGCTGCTGCTCTTGCTGCTGTGCTCCTTATTCCTCCTATCAAGGCTCACATCTTTCTTATTCTCAACACATTCAGGGCGATCACCAGAATGCCTCCCCTCATCCTCTTCCTCCTTCACTCCACCCTCCTTTACCCCCCCTCTTCTCTCCTCCTCCCCTTCTCTTCCCTCTGCCTCCTCTTTCACCTCTGCTGTCTCCACATCCTCTTCCACCTCTCGTCTTCTAACATCATCCTCAGTACCCCCACTCGTCATCTTTCCCGCGTCCTTCTCCCTCTCCCCAGCTTCCGCGTCCTCCCTATCCCCCTCTTTCTCTTCCACTTTCTCTTCTTTCACCTCCCCATTCTTGTCGCCACTCTCCTTCTCCCCATCCACCTCCATAGCCTCCTCTCCACCGTCTTTCTCTCCATCCACCTCCTTCTCCTTCACTTCACCTCCCCCTTTGTCCTTATCCCTTTCCCTATCTCTTTCCTTATCGCTCTCCTTCCCCTCTCCTCCTCTCATCTCCTCCATAATCACATCCTCCTCCTCTTTCTTAACATCTACTCCTTCCTGCCGCCCTTCGTTACTCCGCTCCACATCTTCCCCACTCCTCCCTTCCACCCGCTCTCCCCCCTCACCTCGTTCCCCTACCCTCCCGCCCACCCCTTCCTCTCCCACCTGCGTTACCACTTCTCTCGGGACTCTCTCCCCTTCCTGCTTCTCCTTCCTCACACCTCTCTCCTCTTTGTCACTGAATCGTCTCTCCTCTACCTTCTTTAACCAGTGCTCTCGTCTCCTCAACACAGCTCCTTGCCCTCTCGGCTTCACACACAACAGTCTATGTACAGCCAATAACCTCTCCTCCATCCCCTCCTCCTGTCTTCCCCTCTCTGCCTCCTCCTCCTCCGCCGCTTCCTCTTTCTCCTCCTCACCATCCCTCCGCTTCCCAACCGCCCAATCCTCCTCCCAATCATCCAGCCAGTCAGTTGAACCCTCCCCCATAAACACCTGCGCACACCCCGCTTGCCTCATTAACTCCCCCGCAACAGCCCTCTCAAAGGCCGTGGCACGAGCTAGAAAGGAGACATCAGAAGGCGCTAGATCCAACAAGCGGAGAAACCCAAATGGGGAGATAGCAGAAGGGGTGGAAGAGTAAGAAGAGGCGGATGGAGAGGAGGGAGAGGGGAGGCGCAGCACTGTAAGGGACTGGTGAGTGGCTGAAGAAGCAGAGGGGGAAGAGGGGGAGGAAGGAGAGGAGGAGGAGGATGGTGAGGAGGAGGGGGGAGAGCGGGGGAAGAGGGAGTGGTGGATGTGGATGGGGGAGAAGATGGATAGTTGGTGGTACAGCCACTTGTTTGCGAAGCCCTGGAAAACACCGGAGGAGGTGGGAGGGAGTGCTGGCGTGCACTCACGGTAGAGAAGCTTGGGGACCTGAAGTGATGGAACACAGGAACAAGGGGAGACGAAGAGATGAAAGAATGAGAGTCTAATTCTGCTTCTTTCATCGGCCTTGCGTCTGCTTCTTTCTGAAGCATGTGGATGATCGGCCTTGTGCCTTTAGGGGAGTATGTCTGTCTGTCTGTGCCACGGGGTACAACAAGGTACAAGCATGGGGTGACGGGGTGGGCAGGTGCGCATTTTCAGTCATAAACCTTGAAGAAAGGTGTGCTAAGCATACTGTGCTGCGCGCGATGGCGTTGCAGTACAGCAACCTTTTGACGCCTCGCCTCAAAAGGACCCTGCATACCTACCGGTGAAAGTGACGGGACTGCTGCAGTGGTTTGCAATGTCGGCCAAAACGAAAAAAGCATCCTGTGCATACCGTGTACGAGATGGGGTTGTGGCGGCCGCTGTACGGCACCCAGTCAAGCTCCCCGAACGGCGGGGGCTTTTGAGGCGCCTCAAAAAGAGAACCTGTGCTGTGGCATCAACTAAAGCACCGAGCATGCATACATGCATACCGTGTATGTGATGGGGTTGTGGCGCCCGCTGTACGGCACCCAGTCGAGCTCCCCGAACGGCGGGGGCTGCAGCGGCGGGGAGATGGTGGCAAAGTAGAAATACGCCGCTGCCTCGTTGCGCTCAAACAACTCTGGATGGTTGCACACCTGGAAGAGGGGAGGAGGGAAGGCGGAGAGGGGGGGGGGGAAGGATGAGAGAAAGAGAGGGATGAGAGGAAAGGGGATGGGGCAAGTACAGGAGATGGTGGCAAAGTAAGAATACGCCGCTGCCTCGTTGCGCTCAAACAACTCTGGATGGTTGCACACCTGGAAGAGGGGGGTGGGCACGAGGAGTGGGGTCGCGATGGGGAGGTAGGCAAGAAAAGCGGGGGGGAAGAATGGGAGATGGTACAAAATGGAAGTGAACTGATGCTTAGCTCTTACAATTGAGAACCCAATTGCACACCTTCCTAAGCAAAATCGTATCTTAGTTCCTCATTTATGTACTTCCAAAAATGTATCCCTTCTCACGACCATTTCTCCTGTTGCTGGCAGGAGAAGAACGAAAGATTGACGTTCGAGTTAGGTACTTCGAGATTTACAACAACCGGATCACAGACCTGCTGGCTAGAGCAAGATGTCAGGAGTAGCCAGCAGGTCTGTGAACTGGTTGTTGTAAATCTCAAAGTAAGAAAATCGAATGTCAAACTTTCATTTCTTCTCCTGCCAGCAACAGGATAAATGAGAAGAGATACGATTTTGGAAGCACATGATACGAGGCCCCTTCCATTCAATGGAGATGTTGTTCTTCACCGTGCGGTACAGTGCGTGCTGCCTTCCCCTCCTTTCGGACGAGTCCTTCAGGAACAGAGCCCCAACCGCTCACCTTCCTGAGATGGGTGACTGCGTCTGTACCACTCGGACCCTCACAAGTTCCACTACCCACACCAACGCCTAGAAAGGGACATCAAACCTCAGTCACTCACCTTCCGGAGTTGGATGACGAGGTTCATGAGGTGCAGAACCTTCTTCCTGTTGATCTTTGCGTCGCCCCAAACGCCCTCCTCCCACACCATCACACCACAAATCGCCTTCCTGTGCCCACCTCAGTCACGCACCTTCCGGAGCTGGATGACGAGGTTCATGAGGTGCAGAACCTTCTTCTCGTTGATCTGCCCGCCCACGCTGTCAAACAGGTCCGCGATGGAGATCTTGTTCTTCACTGCGCGGTACAGCGCCTGCTGCCGCGCCCGCAGCTCGCATGGCACCACGAGCTCCTTCTTGCCGCTCATCTCCGTCTCCACGTCCTTCTTCACGCGCCGCAGCATGAATGGCTTCAAGATGGCGTGCTGTAGGTGGGGTGAGGGGCGCATTGGAGGGAAGAAAATCAGGTTAATGGGAATGAACTAGGTTAGTGGGTCAACTCAAGCGGCACCACGAGCTCCTTCTTGCCGCTCATCTCCGTCTCCACGTCCTTCTTCACGCGCCGCAGCATGAACAGTTTCAAGATGGCGTGCTGTAGGTGGGGTGAGGGGCACATGGGAGGGAGATTTGGGACAGAGGGGTTTGGGAAAGCGGGAGAATAGGGCGGGGGATCGGGAGCACAATGGCCGAAGCATGAATGGTTTCAGAATGGTGTGCTGGGAACAGGGAATAACGGGTGAAACCACACACACGCATATCTTGTCGTCAGAAGCAGGAAGCAGGAACCAGAACCGGTAAGCAGAAGTGGGAATGGGAAGGAAATCACAGGCCGAGCAATGCAGAGTGTGTGCGAGGCAGGCAGGCGGGATGCTTACCAAACGGCTGAGCTGATGCTCATTGAGCAGCCCTCCATGCTCCGCATGGCCCTCAATGCTGCTCCACGGGGAGAAAGCAACACGGGAAGAGGGAGAGGGCAAGACAAAGAAAGCGAGGGGGAAAAGGGAGAGGATGGGTGTTGGGTTACGACAAGGATGGTGGAGAGTGAGGAGGAAATCGGAGAGGAAGGAGAGGGGGACAGAGGTGGGCATGGCTGTTGGATGGGCAAGAGATGTAACACAAATACCAATCCTTTCACAAACCAGGTCTGCTCCCGTTTCCCTGCCCGCTCTTCTCCGACCCCTCTCCTGCCCCCTCCCCCGTCCTCACTGCCCCCCCTCCCCATTTGCCCCCCTCCGAACCCCCCTCCCAAACACACAGACGCACGCACCCCTTGGAGAACCATTCGCTGAACTGCTCGTGGCTGTCGAAGAGCGTGGGCATGATGAAGTGCAGCAGCGCCCACAGCTCCGCCATGGAGTTCTGGATGGGCGTGCCCGTCAGCAGCAGCCGGTTGCGACACGAGAACGACAGCAGTGTGCGCCACCGGATGCTGTTTGTTCGAGTTTCGGGAGGGGGGAACGGGGAGTGGGAGGCAGGGCGCAGAGAAGGGCAGGGTGGGTAAGACGACAAATATGCCCACCCAGTTTGCTTGAGGTGGCAGTTATTGAGTCAGCTCAAGACTTGTCTTATCACAAGCAGCAGCGCCCACAGCTCCGCCATGGAGTTCTGGATGGGCGTGCCCGTCAGCAACAGCCGGTTGCGGCACGAGAACGACAGCTGCGTGTGCCAACGGATGCTGAACGGTGGAGGAGTGGGTGGGGGGGGGTTGGGGAAGGCAAAAAATGATGTTTCAATAGCACGAGAACGGCAGCAGCGAGCGCACGCCACTGGATGCTGCTCGTGGAGGGGCCGAGGGGCGGTTTGGGGAGGAGAGGCAGGGGGTGTTGGTTTTGGGGAGTAAGTGGCGCGAATAGATGACACAGTGCGGAAGAAGACAAAGCTTCGTCACAAGAACGGCAGCAGTGTGCGTGTGTCACTGAGTGCTGGACGTGGAGGACGGGTGGTTGAGAGGGGAGGGGGGGGGTACTGCCACACCGCAGGTACTGCCACTTCACACACACTGTACTGGCACCTCACTCACTCACTCATCAACGAGCAGATGAGAACGCACCTGCCAGCACTCTTGATGGCCTGGGCCTCGTCCAGAACCAGGTACTGCCACTTGACACACAGTGCACTGGCACCTTACTCACTCACGCACTCACCCACGCACTCACTCACTCACTCACTCATCAAAGAGCAATGCAGCACCCACGCACCTGCCAGCGCTCTTGATAGCCTGGGCCTCGTCCAGCACGAGGTACTGCCACTTGACGCGCCGCAGGTACTTGTCGTCTGCTACCAGCAGCTGGTACGACGTCACCATCACATGGAACGCCGCGTCCTTGCGGTAGAGCTTCTTCGGGTGGATGTTCTTGCGCAGCACTGTGCGCTCTGGCAGCCCTCCCCAGTACGGCAGCACCTTGAACTCCGGCAGGAACCTGACCCGATGGGCGGATGGACGTGTGGGTGGGAGGGTGGGAGAGGAAAGGGGAGGAGTTTCTTAGGGTGGAAATTATTGCGCAGCAGCACTGTGCGCTCTGGCAGCCCGCCCCAGTACGGCAGCACCTTGAACTCCGGCAGGAACCTGACCCGATGGGCGGATGGACGTGTGGGTGGGAGGGTGGGAAGGGAGTGGGACGGAGCTTCTTAGGGTGGAAAATGTTGCGCAGCACCGTGCGCTCTGGCAGCCCTCCCCAGTACAGCAACACCTTGAACTCCGGCAGGAAACTGACAGGGCGGATGGACGTGTTGGTGGGAGGGTGGGAGGGTGGGAGAGGAGGGGGAGGAGCTTCTTAGCATGGATGACATTGTGCAGCAGCACTGTGCGCTCTGGCAGCCCACCCCAGTACGGCAGCACCTTGAACTCCGGCAGGAACCTGACCGACAGGTGGGTAGGAGGGAGGGAGGGAGGGAGAGAGGCAGTCTCTCAAAAGGCGGATGTTTCTGCACTCTAGCAGCCCACCCCAGTACAGCAGCACCTTGAACTGCGGCAGGAACCTGACCCGATGGGCAGACGGGCGAGAAGGAGGAATGGGAAGGTTTAGTAGGGTGGTCAGTATGGACGTTGTGCCGATCGTCGTGAAAATCTTTGCACGACAAGATTCGACAGGAAGACTCAAGCTCAGCGATGAAGCCAACTTGTCAGGCACGGCACGGCATGGCATGGCATGGCATGGCATGGCATGGCATGGCATGGTATGGCATGGCATGATATGGCATGGCATGGTATGGTATGGCATGGCATGGCATATTGCATACCAGAGCAGCCAGGTAGTAGACTACACCGTACCGTGCAAGCTCGTCCGCCCAGTTGCTGAGCACCGACGCTGGCGCCACCACGAGGAAGGGTCCCCAGATGCCCTTCTCCTGCACGCATGATGCATAATATGCATTACATGCATTACATGCATTATATGCATTACATGCATTACATGCATAATACAGGATGGCCGCCAAGCGCGGACGGGCAATTGGGGAATGCAGATGGAGGGGAAACGGAGAAAAGTGGGTGCAGAGCGGGCAGAGGTAGAGCAGAGCAGGTGAGGCTGAGTATGTGCACAGGTCAAACGGGCCACGGAGGGAAGCAGAGTACCGGACGAAAGGCATGAGAGACAGCTGAGATAACAAGTTTGTTCTGAAAGACGTCTAAAAACACAGTCATTACTACTTTACTACACACCTGAGCTGAGCAGCACGGCACGCACCTCAGCTAGATGAGCAAGGAAGGTCATGGCTTGAATGGTCTTGCCAAGTCCCATCTCATCCGCCAGAATCCCGTTCAGGCCCTGATGGGGGTTGGGGAAAGGAGGGGGGGGTGGGGAATAGGGGTCCCCACCAGCAAAAGGTGACCCGTTAAGGAAGTGCGTGAGGGTAAAAGGCGAGGTTGGGACAAAAGGGACAGAGTGAGTGAGAAAGAGGATCGAGCGTATTGGGAGCACAGGACATACGAAAGAAAGACCAACAAACGAAAAGACCAGCAAAAAGGCAGTGCCAGGCCAATGCACCTGCTCGTAGAGATTGACAAGCCACTGCAGCCCCGTCAGCTGATACTCCTCCAGAAAAAGCATGCAAGGAAACGTCTACCAGTGGCTAGTGAACCTCAAAGAGAGTGCTCGCGCACGCACACAGCACCAGCGCACGCACGCACCTGCTCGTAGAAGTTGACAAGCCACTGCAGCCCCTTTAACTGGTACTCCTTCAGCCAGCCAATTTTGGTGCCAGCAACCGCACGCACGCACGCATACAGACGCACACACACACACACAGCACAGCACCAGCGCACCTGCTCGTAGAGATTGACAAGCCACTGCAGCCCCTTTAACTGGTACTCCTTCAGCCGCCCTCGGAAGATGCTTGGCTGCGCCACTGTTGATGCTTCCGGCATTGTGGACCTGCCATGTGAAGCAGAACAACCAGGGATGAGAGGGCAGCAGGGGAGAAAATTAGCTAGAGACAACAGGGGAGGAAGGGAGAGGGGGGAGGGGGGTGAGGAGGACTTTGAGGGGGGAGGGTGTGTGGGAGAGGAAGCTGGTATGCGGAGCGGAGAGGGTTTAGGAAAAGCAATTGTAATAATTCAAATTAGATACATACGGGTTCAGCAGATCCATATCCGCAGCCATGCCCTCCTCCCCCTCCCTGCCCGCCCCCAAATCCTCCTCTTCCCCCTCCCCCTCCCCCTCCCCCTCTCCCCCTTCCCCTCGCAGCCGTCTCGATTCCGAGTCAAACAGGTTCGTGCGGCTCTGCTGCTCACTCGCCGCTTGCACCGCAGCCAACCTTGCTTCCTCCGCCATTCTCTCGTTCTCCTCCACCTCCTCCGCACTTAAACCCTCTCCTCCCCCACCAGCACCGGAACCACCAGCACCAGCGGCTGCACCAGCAGCAGCACCACCACCAGCAGCAGTCGCCGCTGCACGTGCTTTCGCCCCAGCACCACCGGCCGCCCCGCCCCCCGGCGCAACCTTGGAGTGCATGAAATGCGAGTACAGCTCCGTCTGTGTGAGCAAGAAATTCAGCCGCTGCTGCTGCCGCCGCGCTTCTCTGAGCTCCTCCTCCCTCCGCCTCGCCTCTAGCGCCTCCTTCTCCTCCCTCTTCCTTAGCTCAGTCTGCTCACGGTCGTACCGCCGCCAGAACAGCACCATATCCCGGGCCAGCCGCTTCATACGCAGTGGCGCGCCTTTAGCCGCCTTGACTGACCGTGTCACGCGTGCACGGACCTCCCGTTGGCACAGCTCAGCGGTGCGTTTGCAGTCCAGCGACTGCTTCTTGTGCGTCATCACAAACAGCCGGTGGTGCTTCAGCAGGTCCTTTCGCACCATGGAGCTCCATGCCTTGGCCGTTTTCTCCATCTCTTTCAGCAGCGCTGCCTCCTGTTCCATCTTAGACAGAACCTTCCTCCCCCCGCCCACCACCCCACGCTTTCCCTGCACTATCCCTGTCACAGGGCCACCGGCTTCGCCAGGTTTGGAAGGCGGTGGGGCGGAGAGGGCGGAGAGCGGAGGTGGGGTGAGGGCGGATGGTGGTGTGGGTTGTTGCGGGAAGGGGGTGGCAGAGCCTGGCGCGCCCAGGGAAAACTGCTGCATTGCTGCCCCCCCTGCTGCTGCTGCTGCGTCTGCTGCTCCTGCACCTGCTGTGCCACCAGTGCTACTCCCTGCTGCCACTGCTGCTGCCAGAACAGCGTCTAGAGACGGCCTACCCTGCTTTTGCACAAGCATCCCCGCTTGCTGCTGCTGCTGCTGCTGCTGCATGCCTGCTGCAAACCCAGCTCCCCCCAGCGCAGCAGAGGCACGCCCTTGCGTATCACCATGACTTCCCTGCACCGGCAAACCCAGCGCCAACCCTGCCACAAGTTTCACAACAGGACGAGCGACGGGAGACGAGAAGACGGGAAACCGGAGAATGGTATGTTTGCTGTTTTCTGGTCGAAGGAAAAGAACGGAGCAGTCAGTCGCATCCGCATGAGAGGGGACAGATCTCTCCATGAGAATCTTTGGGGACATTCCAAGCGCCTGAGACATTTCTTAAGGAACGGGTGAAAATGGGAGGTAACCAAAATGGGTGCACGAAAGAGCATGCCTTTTCCCCTGCTACTGCTGAAGCGCCTACCGACCGTATCTTGATGTGATGTGACACCTCACTCCAGAAGTGCAATGTGAGATTTCATGATTCATCCAAGCATACCAGCATGAGTTGACAACTGGCATCCCTGCATGGTTTGCCAATTGATACACCTGAATGGGCTGACATACCTGCAGCCATCTGGTGCTGTTGATGTTGTTGCATCTGCTGCTGTTGCTGTTCATGCTGCTGCAAGCTGCCGTACTGAGCGGCCATATCTGCATTCCACTCGCCTCTCCCCCTCTCCGGAAAGCTTTTGGGAAAACCTGCTTCTTCCCCTTCACCCACACCAGTTCTAGACCCCCTCGTTCTGGAAGCTCCCCAGAACTTCATTTGATCTGCCCCACCACTCTCTTCTGCCGCTGCTGCCGCCGCCGCCGCCGCTGCCGCAGCAGCCGCTGCTTCCTCTGCTATTCGCTGCCGCTCCCTCTCTCTCTCCCTCTCTTGCTCCCTCTCCCTTTCCCTCTGTATCTCTAACTGCCTCTGCCTCTCCCTCTCTCGTTCTCGCTCTAATTCCCGCTGCCTCTCCCTCTCTCTCTCCCTCTCTCGCTCCCGTTCGAGCTCTAACTGTCGCTTCCTCTCTTCCTCCCTCTGCCTTTCCAATTCCAACTGCCTCTGCCGCTCCTCCTCCTTTTTCCTCTCCTCCTCCCTTCTCCTTTCCTCCTCTCTTTTCCTCTCCAACTCCAACAACCTCTGACGCTCCCTCTCTTCCCTCTCCTTCCTCTCCTTCTCCTTTCTCTCCCTTTCCTTCCTCTCCCTCTCTTTCCTCTCCCGTTCCTTCCTCTCCCTCTCCCTCCTCTCAGCCTCCTTCCTCTCCCTTTCTATCCTCTCCCTCTCTTTCCTCTCCCTTTCCTTCCTCTCCCTCTCCTTCCTCTCCCTCTCCTTCCTCTCCTGCTCCCTCCTCAACCTCTCCCTCCTCTCCCTCTCCCTCCTCTCCCTTTCCTTCCTTTCCTGTTCCAACCGCTCCAACCTCTCCCTCTCTAACCTCTCCCTTTCCATCCTCTCTCCCTCTAATCTCTCCAGCTCCTTCCCCACTCTCTGCTTCACCTCCCACTCCCGCCGTTCCTTCTCCTTCTGAATAACCCCCGCCAGGACCACAGAAGCAAGTTCCCCGGGTCCCAAACTAGGATTCAACGCCCTTTCATCCAGATAAACGTCCGCATAGCCTGGAAGCCCCAAGCTTGGGGCTATATCATCATAATCAGGCAGCATACGCAGCTGCACGCCAGGACAGAGCTCCAGCACGCCTGCTGCTGCAACCGCTGCATCCAACCTCGCACGATCCCTTGACACCACCAGCGCATTCCTTCCTCCGGTGGCGCCGCTAGCCGCAGCCGCAGCCGCAGCCGAAGAAGCATGGAAAGCACTTTCTTTAGACTGACTTGTATCTCCGCCAGCGGGGGTGAAAACGGGCACGGAGGGTCTAGACGGACTAGACGGACCATCTACTACTTCAGCCTTGGCAGAGGATCCTTGCCCGCCTAACGCTGCTCTTTCCCCTCTCTTCCCTGCATCAGCACCAGCCCCGGCGCTGATGCTGGCCGCATCAGCCGCAGCACGAGAAGCAGGAGAAGCAAGGTGGTGCCGCTGGTGGCTCATCCCTGGAAATCCATTCACGTCCCCTGCTTCCTGCTTCACCATCCCTCGACCAACACCAGCGACTACAGATCCCCTCCCAACTGCTGACGAATCTGGAACCACTCCTCCTGCTGCTGCTGCTGCTGCTGGGCCTGCCAATGACCCTCCTCGTCCTCTCCCTCCCACTATGTCTACAGCGCTAGCCGCTTTTCCTGCAGCAGCAGCAGCAGCAGCAGCAGCAGGGGTATGACCTGCCTGGTTTGCCTTGCTCGGTCGTCCTCCCCGCATGTGAGACAATGGTACGTCCTCCTCCTCTTCAAGCCACTTGGGCTGCCGCCGCTGTCGCTGCTGCCTTTGAGAGCCCCCTGCTACTCCTTCACCTGCTTCTTCTGCTGCTGCTGCAGCTGCGGCGGCGGCGGCTGCTGCTGCGAGTACTGCAGGTACTGCTGCTGCTCCAGGAGCTCCTAATCCTCCTGGTGGGCTCATCAGCTGCTGCTGATGCTCCTGCTGCCACTGATGCAAAGGGGCCCTTTTGTCCCCTTGCATGCCAATTTGCGAGGCAATCTGCCCTTGATACGGAGGACCCTGGGACCGAACCAGGCTCTCCTGCGTGCTTGCCCCCTCTCCCTGCTCCCCATTCATCTCATTCATCTGATTCACCTCGCGCCCTTCTGCTTCTCCCTGATTTTCCTCCTCCTCCTCATCCTCCTCTTCCTCCTCCTCCTCCTCCTCCTCCTCTTCCTCGCTTTCCTCCAGCTCTACCGCCTCCTCTTCCACTTCCTCCTCCTCTGCTCCCTCTCCCTCATCCTCATCCGCTTCTACCCCTTCCCCATGCCCTTCCTCCTCTTCTACTAACTGCACGCTTTCTTCTTCCTCTTCCTCTTCCTCCTCCTCTTCCTCCTGCTGATCCTCCTCTTCCTCCTGCTCTTCCTCTACCTCCTCCTCCTCTTCCTCCTCCTCTTCCTCCTCCTCTTCTTCCTGTTCGTCCCCTCCTGTCTCACCCCTATTCGTTTCCATATCTACCCCCCCTACCGTCTCCACGTCCGCATCCCCTACCTCTTCCTCCTCTTCCTTTTCCTCCTCGTCCTCCTCTTCCTCTTCTTCCTGCGGTTGCTCCCCACTTGCACCTTCCCATTCCGCCCCCCCCCCTCCCACACCTACCTCTGCTTCTTCTCCCTCATCATCCTCCTCTTCCTCCTCTCCTTCTTGCACCGGATGCTCCTCCTCTTCTTCGTCTCCCTCCTCCTCCCTCTCCTCTTCCTCGTGTTCCTCCTCCTCCACCTCCTCCTCCTCTTCCTCCTCCTCCTCTTCCTCCTCCTCTTCCTCATCCTCCCCCTCCTGCTCCTCCTCCTCCTCCTCCTCCTCCTCCTGCTCCACACCCTGTACTACCCCTTCCGTTACACCCACTCCGTCTTGCACCCACTGGCCATCTGTACCACCAGAACCCCCGGGAATTCCCTCTCCACCGTACCCTACCCATGGCTCCTGACCGCTATGACCATCACCACCCACCTCGGGCCTGTCTTGGCCCCCTTCCTCCTCCTCTTCCTCACCTCCTCCCTCCTCTTCCTCTTCCTCTTCATCCTCTTCATCCTCCTCTTCCTCCTCGTCCTCCTCCTCCTCTTGCACCTCTCCATCTACTTGATTTTGAGTCTGTGTTTCGTGCGCAACCTGCTGCCCTTCTTGTTCATCCCCTTCCTCTTCCTCCTCTCCCTCACTCTCGTCGTCCTGCGCCCCTTCTTGCCATTCTCCTTCCCCTCCCCCTCCCCCTCCTCCTTCCCCTTCCCCTGACCCCCCACCAACCTCCTGACCTTCACCCTCCGCCTCCTCTTCCTCTTCCTCTTCTTCCTCCTCCTCTTCCTCCTCCTCGCCAGCACCATTACCACCTTCGTTCGTCTCATTTCCGTCCTCCTCTTCTTCATCTTCCTCCTCTTCTGCATCCCCTTCCCCCTCGCCCTCCTCTCCTCCCTCTGCAACTTCAGCGCCCCCACCTTCTCCATCCTCCCCTCTTTCTTCCTCTTCCGCCTCCTCCTCTTCCTCCTCATCCTCCTCCTCCTCTTCCTCCCCCTCCCCCTCCCCCTCCCCCTCACCCCCCTGTGCCTGCTCCTCCTCTTGCTCTTCCTCCTCCTCCTGCTCCTCTTCCACCTCCTCCTCCTCGTCTTCCTCCTCTGCCTGCTGCTGCTCCCCTCCCCCACCATACCCCCCATCATCTACCTCTGCCAAACCGTCCGTCCCCCACTTCTGCCCCACAGCCTCCCCCATCCCCCCTTGAGCTGCCCAAACTTCCCCCACCGCCACACTCAAGTCACCAGCGTTGCTATACCCCTGTGCCTGGTTCAACGCATAGCCTCCCCCGACGTACCCCATCCCCTGAGCCTGCAACTGCTGCAGCTGCTGCTGCTGCTGAGGCTGATTCTGATGCTGATACTGCAGCGGCTGCTGATACTGCAATGCCTGCTGCTGCTGGAAAGGCAGCGGTTGTTGGTATTGTGCCTGCTGAAGCTGCTGCTGCTGCTGGTACTGCTGGTACTGGAACTGCTGCTGCTGTTGCTGCTGCTGCTGCTGCTGAAATTGGTTCTGCCATCCCCGATCCATGACCGAAATTACCTGCACCAAACGGCACAGAGCAAGGAGCGAACACAGAGAGGGCGGACAAAGGTTGTGACGCCAGGGGAACTGAGGCAAGAGAGGAGGAGGAAGAAGAGGGAAGGGGGCGGGGTAGTGTTGGGAGGGGAGGAGGCTCGACAGGAGGAAGGGGGCAGGAAGAGGGAGGAAAAGGAATGTGAATTCCGCCGAAAACGACTGCCTGAAAGAAGTGGAAGGTAGATCGCGGAAGGAAAGCAGTAGGACGGAGTGAGGGAAGAACGGGAGGCAAGCAGCGAAGTGCGAGGCCCGAAAATTCGCGGCAAAAGGCAGAAAGCTACCGGTAAACGCAAAGGCGGAGGGGCGGCGATTAGACAGCGAATGAGTACGCGGTACCATTGTGACCTTTTGAAAATTCTCAGAAGTCAATCCAGTGATCCTATTAACTGCTAGACTGGAAGCCGCTATTGACACGAGCTACCTGCCTGCCTGTCTGCCTTCCTATCAACGCCGTACCGTCTGGCTTATTGAAGCTTGCAGCAGCCGTCACGAACAGGGCCACGTCACACAGTACACGCCCACGTCACACCCGCACACGCCACACGTCACCACTTTTCGCCGAAATGATCGCTTTCTTGGCCTCTCGCGAAACCTATCGCCAAGAGTAGTCGCCTGTAGGCCCCTCAGTATTCCGAATCAGCCTATTCCATCCATCCCCGCAACGGCTGCGCCAGTGCGGGACTAGTTGCGCGGACGGGTGGCGGATGCGCGGACTCCACGGAAGATCCGCGCAACTGTCCGCTTAGCCGTCCGCGGAAGATTCCCACAGCCGTCAGCGGAGGATCCGCACAGCCGTCAGCGGAGGATCCGCGCAGCAGTCCGCGCGCGCAAGCCCCCAGGTGCGGAACGGAAGAGTCGGATCACGGAAACCGGAAGATGGAGCGAGTGAAAGGGTGGTAGACCGAAAATCACGGAAACCTGGTTAGTTGAGCGCCAAGAGACGAGTGCCGCGAGGATTCACGCCGGCATTCGCGGAGAGCCAATTCGAGAAGAGCCGCCGTGGATATAACAGTCCCTTTTGTTCGTAAATGGCCCTACTGTTCCATTCAGTTCTAATCCGTTCTGCTATATTCCTTTCCGCTTGACGGACCACGTGCAGTGGAAGAGGAAGACGAGGACTTGATTGGACGAAAGGTGAATCTACGAAGCTCAAACCAGAAGCACACCCGAAAGTGATTGAAGCTACGCACAGACCCGGTTAAGCGTCACGCACGAAGGCTGAAACGTCGGCGGGTGAATCTATAGTTCGAGCGGCCGACGGTACCGTGCGGTGGTTGTTACTGGCACGAACGAAGCGAGCGTCACGAGGGCGGCAACGTGAAAGTCGAAAACACGGGGAAGTCTTGCGTTTGCGACGAGTGTAAAGAGACCAGCCGATCGGATGTGAGCCTCTTATTGCTACTTAGTATCCTCTACGTGTGTGCTGTTGCTATATGCTGGCAATAAAAGAGACGCCTAACAGATGCCGAGTTTACCTGAAAGACGGTTCTCAAAAAGCACGACGTCAAGAAAGGGTAGTCTACGCGAGCTACGTGAATGGTCCGGAAAAAAAAAACTATTTCGCCACTTATGGGGCCTGGAAAAATAGCGAGCCCAGAAAGTGCTAAGCAGCTGGTAAAATTGCAAAAAATGAAAACAATGCCGGAAACGGCCGAGGCCCAGATCTGAGCTGAAAATGCAAAACCCTAATCGCAAGTCAGGGGGAGCTAGGAGGAGTAGTGTGAGCAATGCATGGTGCGATCTAGCACCAGTGGGAGGAGCCTCCTGATCGTCGCGCAGCCAATCAGCGACGAGCGTGGGGGGAGCTGCGTGAGAGGAGAGCTCGCGTGAGAGGGGAACAGGGCACGCCATGGCTGCCTTGCCTTGGGGATGGGGGGATGGGAGAGAATCAGTGCGAGGAGAAAAGAGCTGAAATGAGGAGAGGGAAGACGGTTACTGTAGACTGGTTTCGACAATAGAAAACACTTCACTCGCATCTTACAGTATTGTAGATGAACCTTGTTTCATATTTAATATGCATAGTGGAAAGTATTAAAAAAAAAAACACTAGAGGTTAAATCAGTCACATTTTGGTATGAAAGGTGAGCAACTAAAAAATTCGTCCTAGTATAATGAGACTAGGGGTAACTTGCCCACCACACCTAATTTGGGTTAGTAGCATCAGTCACTAAGTTATGTTGTTGTACAACTTAGTTAGTTCACCAATATTGGCCTCGGTCAGTCATGCGTATGTTGTTCCAGGCTTGTCAGGCGGTCCATCTGTGCGCTCGTGCGTAATCCAAACATCCACCCTCTTCCCTGCATCTTTCGCCTCATGCTCCACCTCCACCGTACGCCCTTTCATAGCCCACTTCACCGTTGCAGGCACCACACGCACACTTGTCCTCCACCCCACCTCCCCACATCGGAAGCAGTAAATCTCCGTCCGAAATTCCATTCCAGTAGGTGCTACTGGAGGGCCGTCCCTTACCTGCTCATCTGCATCTTTAGATGAAAACAACCAGGTCGTCGGCCGAACGTGTCTGTCTGGTGGCAGAGGGTGGTTCGCCAGGTAACTCAAATGAAATGAGGCGGCAGAAGAGTTAAAGAAGAACTGCAAGATACGGCCTGCAACGGCTTGTGGGTACGTCCGGGCAAGGAGCAAGCCCAGGCGCATATTCAGCGAGCCGTTGCGATGGAACAGCCCCAGGTTGGCGCCCGTGATGGGGAGAAACGCCTTGTATTCCCACGCCATCCACGATTGCACGTGCTCATCAGCTGCATCCAACAACTCCTCCATCTCTTTCCATGCACCCGGCCCAGGATCCTCGTCTTCTTTATGTTTCGGATCAACTGTTCCGTTGCTTGGTTGCCCCGTGTTGCTCACTTCCTCGGCATTCCCCTCCTCATCCTTCTCCGCCTGCATCTGCACAGCACGCCCTGTCTCTGCTTCACCACAGCTCAGCAAACCTCGCACCACCGCTTTCCCTGCCGCTGATTGCGCTCTCCGTTCCGCCCAAGGCAACGCTTTCCAATGCAGCGTCCGCTGCAACGATCTTCTGTGCACCGTGCAACCCGAGGCTCGAAAACCTGAGGAATTACTCTGCATAAGAGCTCGTTCCGCCAGCCTCTCACCACCAGAATCATTGCCTCTGCCGAAATAGCGAGCCATTTCGAAAAGCCCGTTCCGGCGGCTGCGCCCCACCTTGATTCCTAAGGGAATGCTCGGGAGGCTGAACTCCGTGAGCATGGCGCCGCACTGCAGCCGCTTGCGCTCCGCCATGCGTTGCTTCATGGTCGCCCGCACCGCAACGTTGGGCGGCCGGTAGTGGTGGTAACTCAGCACGCTCATGTTCCGCCAAGCCTGCCCGCCCGGGACCCACCGCAACCCGCTCACCGCATCGTCAAACGTGACAGTCTCAAACGCAATCAGTTTACTCGGGTCCTCCGCGCGGATAGCCGCTTGCAGGTGCTCGTACAACGGAGCCAGATTCAGCTTGTCAGCAACGCCCGGCGCCATGAGCATGGGGTTTGAAAACTCGTCCCCAACCCAGGGCTCGTTGAGAAGATCATATCCCAGAACTCCGTCCTCGTCTCTAAACGCGCGCGCCACCTCTGCCCAGTAATCCGCCATGCGGTCTCTCCAGCCCCAGCGGTTCTCGTACAGGTCTTGGAAGGCCCGGGCCACGGCGTAAGTGAAGTGATAGTCGCTCCACGAGTGCCGCTCGCACTGCTTCGGGTCTGGGTCGCTGGTGTGAAACCGACGGGTCTGGCTGTTGCTTCTGCTGCTCGTGCCTGGGGTTCCGGACGGGGACTCGGACGCGTGGGAGGCGGTTACCATATCGTTTTCACCGGTTTTCGCCTCTGCGAGGGTTTCCGCGCGTCCTAACGGGAAGGTTTTGTGTGACCTGGTAGCTGTGGTCTCTGCTGCCGCTGCCGTTTCTGCCGGCTCTGGGGTTACCGATGTGCCTGTCGCCTCCGTTGTCTCTACTCTCTCTGCTGCCTCGTCATCCAGCGTTCCACGTGGCAGCAAATGAAACCTGGGGCTAAGCGGCTCGGGGAAGCTCTTGGCGTATTCGATAGGTCGCATGCACACAGCGAAACCCACGCATGGCAGCATGCCGCCTCCCCCGTCTATGATGCCACTGCTGCGACTCACACTCGTTACACTGCTACTTGTGTCTTGCGGAGTGCTGCTGTTGCTACTACTTCTGCTGCTGCTGCTGTTGACGTTCGAAGTGTTGATGCCGTTAGAGTTGATGCCGTTAGAGTTGCTGCTGGTGCTGCCAAGGCTAGCAGTAGTGCCGGTGCCGCCTTGATTGGCATGACTTGCAACTGACTCCGTCTGCTCGTCGAACAGCCACGACGGCGCGCCTTCCCCGCAGAATCGCGACCCGAAAACGTCCTGGTGAAAGTCGACCAGGGTGTAGATTCCAGCCGCGCGCATCTGCCGCACCATGCGCTTCATCACGTGGAGGTACGTCGCGTTGGTCTCCCCGCGCGCCGGGTGCACACCGGGCCACATGACTCCCAGGCGCACCACGTTCAGGCCTAGGGTCTGGAGAATTGCGAAGTCGGCCGGGGAGAAGGAAAGCTCTGGGTGAAACGAGTCGAGCACGGGAGGGTGCCATGGCGGGCCTTTGAAGACGGCGTTCACGCCGTGAAACACGCGCTCACGGTTGTACGCGTCGCGAATGCGACCCGAGGAGGGGTCCACGTGGAATTGCGGAAATTGAGGGACGGGGTAATTTGGTGGCCGTCGTTCGGGCTCGAGCCAGGTGGAGGTGGTGATGAGGAGGTAGAGAATCAGTGCTGACAGGGTGACAGCTCGAGCTGCTGCGAGGAGAGTGGTGGTGAAGGCCTCGCTGCGGCTGAATTGAGCCGCTCTGCGAGCTTGTCGTGCGAGCCATGCTAACGTTAACATTCCCGAATTATTGTGGACGCAGCCTCTACTAGCCAGAAACTTGCTGTAATCTGCTGCTCGCTGAAAAAGTGGAACGGAGGAATAGAGTAAACTTGTGCGTATTAGCTCTTACTGATCCTCGTGCACGTCGCGTGGGTCGAGTTTATTGCTGCTACAACCAGAAAGTCGCTCCCAGGGCAACAACGGCCCTACAGTTTTCGACGGTGTTGCGCACTCATCAAATTGTTGAGCTGTGAATTGCTCTGACAGAAAACCAGACCAGATCAGACCCCCGCCATCACTGCTTCCAGAATCCAGACTCCAAAGTCTGCCTGTCGAACTGTAACGAAAATGACCCCCCACCAGCGTCTTGAGAATGTCACCGACATCCACGGAGGCCCATCATGTCAGTCGCTTTGATGACTCACAACGACTGCTGGTTGGTTGGTGGGTGCGCTTTAGGTACGGCTACGTTCGGAAAAGTCGACGGTCCGAGGTTTGGAATGACTTTGGGCTCGGTTTCGGTGAAATTTGGGCACCTCGGCAAGGCAGGCAGATTGGAATGGATAGGTAAGGAGGGGGAATACTTGCCGAACCAGGATTAACACGTCAACTTCAAAGATATCCAGGGCAGAGAGGGGCGGGAGAAGAAGCCTCGGAAAAAACCCCAACGTCGGTTTCAGCGCGCTGCGACTTCTTTACCTTGTGTTGATGTTTTTTTCTTTCGTTGTCCAACAGCCCGCTGTCACATGGTTTGAAGGATGCCTGCACTCGAGGAAGTCGAAAAGACACAGCGATTGGAATAATTCGTTCGATAGAAACTAGACTCTGTATATTTGAGCGGACTCAAACCCTAGACTCCGGGAACAGATGGTTCGCTAGAAAAAGGTCCGAGTTTCCAGCGGGAATCTACGTGACAAGCAACTGACAACGAGATGCATCACGGTACGCGATAAAGAGCAAATAGCTTAGGAAGTGATGTGACATAAATTATCACCCACCAGACTGGAATAACCTTAAGCGATAAAATTAGCTAGAGGACAATATCAAACATCTGCCTCCACTCCACCAAGTTGGCTGTAATCTTCCACCACTATCCATCCTCTTTGTTTAGCTTGCTCAAGCAGCCGATCATCTGGCCGCACTGCATAGGCTTGACCCACCTGGAGGGTTGTGGAATTCAACATTGGCAAAAGGGTTGAGGGCAACATAGCACTCAATACGCCCGAATACAGATGTGTAGCAGTTTGGAGATGCATTCACCATCACTCACCTCAAGCAGCATTTGGAAGTCGGCGTAGCTGTCCCCGTATGCATAGCAGTCCTTCAACGCAATACCTTCCCTCTCTGCATACCCTCTTATCACAGCAGCCTTCTCTGCACTGCTCACCGCCTCACCCTCCAGTTCCCCTGTAAACCTGCCATCAGACTCCTTCAGCTTCGCAGCAAAAACTGCACCTGGCAGACACCAGAGACGAGAACGGAAGGGAGAGTCAGTGAAACGAGAGCCTGAAGGAAGACACGAGAAAAGATGAGAGAGAAACGGGAGGAGGTGAGAGTGTGCATGTCTGTTTCTGAGTTCATGACCTGTGTATGCTAATACATATAATGGGACGTCAAGCAGGCAGAAAGAAGATAGGAAGAGGAGTAGCATGTGGAAGCGGAGCGGCAACATACTTGCAGAAAGATCCTTAGCAAGGGGTTCAATGAGGAAATCAAGGGAGCCAGTAACCAGGACAATCCGGAAGCCATCAGTGCGAAGGCGAGTAATGTGTTCCAGCACCCCTGGAAACACCCTGACATGCAGAGGAAAGGGACAGGAACAGGTCAAGGGATGAAAGGAAATCAAAGCGCATGTAACAAGTCTGACCAGGAATTATTGATTCAGCGGTAAGAAAATGCCTTCACCAGGTAAACAGGAAACGGCAAATGATTTAAAAGGTCCTTCCCTCATCCATCCTCCCAACCTTCCTTCACCAACCCGTCGGACTCGTTCCCCGCCTCTCCCATGCTACTCTGTCTTTCTCTCGTTCTTCTTCCCCCTCTCTCCACTCTTCAGCCTCCCCACACAAAACGCTTCATCCATTGTCATACTTTGATTTGAGGTAATTCGTGTGCACGAAATCCGCCATGGCCTCCTTCTCGCTCACGAGCATTCCCCTATAGTTGCGGTAGAACGTGCGATTGAACAGACCCCGGTCGATCCGGTCTAGAATTAGGTATAGCACCACATTGAGCGCGAACCACGGCACCCAGACCGCCTTCTGCAGCAGCGGCATGTCTCGCAGACGAAGTGCTACAAACGCGGCCACCACGTTGCTGCTCGTTATTGTCCCATCCACATCGAAGAATGCCGCGCGGAGCGGAACGGAGGGAGAGGAGGGCGATGACGCAGACGGGTTAGAATCATCGGCAACAGTGACGGCTTGTGCTCGCACCCTGATGGTCCGATCCGCAGCCCAGATAGATCCGACGGAAGGCGTTCGTGAAGCTGCATTGCTGTCTGCTATGTTATTGGAGCGCAATTGCCTCTCAAAATGCGCACCGCATGTGGTAGCCGGCGAAATTGAGTTGCATGGTAACAGTCGTACGGAGAACCTGGCATACCGTGTGTGCACGAGAATTGGCCGTCTGTGCGTGGGAACCGGCAAATGAAGCCCAGTAGGAGAACACAACGCGAATTGTTGAAGAGGCATCTTCCGTTACAAGCGTGTAAAGACGGCTCTTAGTCTGCAATGCGAGCTTTGTCGCAATGTACACGCGGCAGCAGGGATAGTAGAATGGAATCCTAGACTGACGAACTCCGTACTTCACGGGCTGCTGCTGTGAGCTCTGCTTTTCTGGTTTGTGCTTGCTGAGTGTTACGAGTGAAATTGAGTGAACGAACGAGAATTGCACTATCGAAGCAAGAGTACAATGAGCGAAGGCATGAGCTAAGAATATATAGTGAAACTACAGTGGTAACGGTAATGGACTGTGGTTGTCGCACGACGGGGCTGGGACTGAGGTTGGGAAAAGTGTCGAAGCGGAGGCCCGGAGCGCGGGTTACCCGCCAAGCCGTGAGGTCGGGGTGCGACGTGCGAAGGTTGTCGGGCGGATTGTCGAAGCGAGGATTGCGAGTGCTAACGGTGCTGACTGTGGTGCTACAGTGATGTATGCGTTGAGCAGGGACGCGAAGTAAGGAAAAATAGATTTTCCTTACACTACCCCCCCCCCCCCCCCCCTTAAGGAGGTCCTCCTTACGAAAGTGCTTGTACATCCCTGAAATTCCGGCTGCGCAGATACTCGGTGAGGACGGGGTGGTGTTCGATTCTGTCCAAGGGAACCCAATTGTCTTCGGTGGGTGTACGGTCCTTCCAGCGGAGTAAGAACTCGATCCTTCGGGCTCCTCGAGGGTCACGAACTCTGTGGCTCAAGATTTTTTCGGGGGTGATGATTGGTTCAGTCGGCAGTCGTGTCATGCTGGCTGGGCGATTGCGTGGGAGTTGGCTTGTGGACGGGACGTAGGGGCGAAGCAGGCTGACGTGGAACGAGGGGCTGACGTACCAGTCAGCAGGGAGGAGGAGGTGAGCGGTGATGGGTGTTATCATGTGGCTTATGCGAAATGGCCCGCAATATCGAGGGCGGAGTTTCGGGGTGATGGGCAGTCGGAGATTTTGGGTGTCGAGTAAAACTAAGTCGTCGGGCTGGTAAGTGACAGGTCTGCGGTGGCGGTCGGCGTTGCGTTTGTCAAACAACGAGCTCTAAGAGTAATTGAGAGTTAAGTAGGCCTAGGCTTAGTAGCCTAGGCCTACGGGATATCGAGTGGTTTGTGCCAAAGGAAGGTATCGAGAAACTTGGAAAAGGTGAGTTCACTATAGGTTTGCAAGAACATATAGCATGTGAACAAAGAAGGTGCACCACCTAACAAAGTTTATAATAACTACACTAACTACAGCTACAGGCAGTTATATATATGTAAATTCTGACACTCCCCCATAACTGCCTGCAGCAGGAATTTGTGCAGAACACAACCTGCAGGGGTACATAAGCAGACTGATAAAGAAGCAACAGCAGGTACGGTAAGTGAGCAGGTACAGTAGGTCGACAGCAAGAAATTCCTGCCACCCCCTTACCCTCTCCCCCCCCAACCACAGGAGGGGAAGGAGGAAGAGTGAGGAGGCGGGCTGGCTCTGGCTGGTCACCCACTCCATCTCCTCACCCTCCTCCTTCCCCTCCCCCACACTGCTGCAGGAGCAGCAGAGGGGGGGGGAAGAGAGGAGAGGTGGAGGGACGGCTGCTGGTTGCCTCACACCCACCACCCCGGTGCCACTCCCCCTGCTCCCCCACACCCTCACACCCTCCCCCCCAGCGGCAGCTGCAGCAGTGGGAACGAAAGGAGGAGGAGGGGAAGGGAAGCTCTCTACCCAACACTCCAACACCCGCCACCCCCATACCCTCCCCCCCACGGCTGCAGGGAGACGAAGGAGGACGGGGTGGGCGGGAAGAAAGCCGCAGAGCGGCTAAATAGGGTCGGCGCAGGTAGGTCAGGGGCGGCTGCAGGGAGTGCAGGTGCGGAGAGCACCGTTGCGTGCCACGGGGTGCACGACGGGCAAGTTCAAGTTTAGAGCACCGTCATGTGCCTCGGGGCGCACGACGAGCAGGGCACCGTCGCGTGCCACGGGGCGCACGACGGGCAAGTTTAGGGCACCGTCGCGTGCCACGGGGCGCGCGACGGGCAGAGAAGGTGTCACTCGCCACCCGGGGGCGGGACAAGACGAAAATCGCCACGCGCCCTAGGCGCGCGACCGGAAAAATAGCAGCGGAATCATAAGGCGGGCCCACAGGCCAGGACGAAACACGCTCTGATACCATGTCAAACAACGAGCTCGAAGAGTAATTGAGAGTTAAGTAGGCCTAGGCTTAGTAGCCTAGGCCTAGGGGATATCGAGTGGTTTGTGCCAAGGGAAGGTATCGAGAAAGTTGGAAAAGGTGAGTTCACTATAGGTTTGCAAGAACATATAGCATGTGAACAAAGAAGGTGCACCACCTAACAAAGTTTATAATAACTACACTAACTAGAGCTACAGGCAGTTATATATATAAATTTTGACAGCGTTTAGCGATGATGTTAGCTTTTTTAATTGCGTCTGCTGCCCTGGTCCATGCTGCTTGCAAAATTTCGGTGAACTGTTGCGCGCGTGGAACCGGGTTGTCGGGATTCGGGGTCATGGGTACTGTTGGGTCTTGTCCATAATTTAGGTAAAACGGTGGCTGTTGGGTCGTGGCGGATGGGGCGTTGTTGTATGCGAATTCGATGAGTGGCAGTTGCTGTTCCCACGTGTTTGGGTCGTCGCACGTAGCCCGGATGAGCTGTTCCATGGTTTGATTTGTCTGTTCTGTCTGTCCGTCTGTTTCGGGATGGTACGATGAACTAAACTGTAGTCGTGTGCCGAACTGTTGCCACAGGTTTTGCCAGAAGTTGCTGGTGAATTTCGTGTCTCTGTCGCTGATGATTGATGCTGGTATCCCGTGCAGTCGAACGACGGTAGAGATGAAGAGGCGGGCTGTTTCTTCGGCTGTGATTGATTTTTTGCAGGCTGCGAAGTGTGCCATTTTCGTCAGTCGATCGACGACGACCAGGATCGCGTCATTTCCACTCGCCCTGGCCGGTAACCCCGTGACGAAGTCCATCGTCACCTGCTGCCAAGCACGCTCTGGAGGTGGGATTGGCTGCAACTGTCCCGCCGGCCGCTTCCGTGTTGACTTCATGATCTGGCAAGTGGGACACGATGCCACGTGACGCTGTACGCCGGTCAACATTTCGGGCCAGTAATAATACCGCTCCAGCTGCTGCCGTGTTTTCTCTACCCCGAAATGTCCCGAGGTAACCCTGTCATGTGCCTCCTGTAGTAGTAATTCCCGTAGCACTGTGTACCCTGGTACCCAGATGCGCTCGGTCCCGGCTTTTACGTAATAGACTCCCTTGGCTGCTGCGAACTGCTGCAAATTTCCTCCTTTGAAGAATGGGTCCGTTTGATATCCGTGGATAAATAGTTCTGTCAGTAGCGGGCTGGTCTGGGCGAGTAGTATTGCGTGGATTTGGGCAGTGGGGCGGGTCAGTGCGTCGGCGATGTTCGAGGCTCCTTTTTTATAGGTGACTGTGTAGTGGAAGTTTGACTCGAGAAAATCGAGCCACCGAATCTGTCGTGGGTTGAGGTGGGGCTGTGCGCGGAGGTACTGTAGTGATCGGTGGTCTGTCCGTACTGTCACGTCTGCGCCGGTCAAGTAGCAGCGCCACACTTTGAACGCATGCACGATCGCGAGCATTTCGCGGTCGTGTATCGGGTAATTTTGCTCGGGCGGATGCAGTTTTTGTGACTCGTATGCGATGGGCTGTAGGCCGTTTCCGAAGTCCTGTAGCAGTACGGCTCCAATGGCGATGTCGCTTGCGTCTGTAACAACCTCGAAGGGGCGGTGTGGGTCGGCGATGCGCAGGACGGGCGGTGAACAAAGAACATTTTTCAGGGCAGAGAAGGCAGCATGCTCTTTCTCACCCCACGTAAAAACGACCCCCTTTCGGAGTAAATCCGTCAGCGGGGCGGTCAATTCTGCCATGTCGGGAACGAACCGACGAACATAATTAACGAACCCTAAAAAACTCTGCAGTTCCGTGATGTTCGTCGGGGGACGCCACGCTTTTACCGTATCCAGCTTCTTTGGGTCGATTTCAACTCTAGCCTCCGAAATAACGTGCCCCAAAAATTCTAGCCTGTCCCGAAAAAACTCGCACTTAGAGCCCTTGGTGAGTAGCCGATGTTCCTCTAAAACTTTAAATACTGCTTCGAGATCCGCTAAGTGCTGCTGCTTGTCGCGGCTGTAGACGAGGATGTCGTCGAGTTAAACTATCACGCATTTATCTAAGAGTGGCCTAAACGCCTCGTTCATGGTCATCTGAAATGTTGCGGGCGCGTTGGTCAGCCCGAAAGGCATCACCGTGTACTCAAACGACCTGTACCTAGTCCTAAATCCTGACTTGGCGCAGTCCGATGGTTCGACCCGAATCTGATGGTAACCCCCCCGTAAGTCTATTTTCGAAAACACCCGTGCTGTTCGCAGTTGGTCGATTAGTTCGTCGGCGCGGGGAATGGGGTACCGCGACTCGACTGTTACCCTGTTGAGCGCTCGGTAATCGATGCACATGCAAAACCCTCCGTCTTTTTTCGGTGTGAACAGTATCGGTGTAGCGAACGGTGACGAACTTGGTCGAATGAACTGCTTTTCTAACAAATAATCTAACTGCTTCCTTAGTTCGTCGAGCCCGGGCTGTGTCAGTTTGAACTGGCGCTGTACAGTTGGCTGTGCCCCCGGTTCTAGCTCGATCCTATGATCATGCGCGCGCTGAGGTGGCAGCCCTTCCGGTAAGTCGTCTAGAAAAATCCTCGGGTACCGTTTCAACAGTTCCTGTAGTTCGGGGGGTACTGCTGCCAACAGTTTCTGAAAATCGCTCGGCTGCTCCGTTTCTCTCACTAATGCTATATCTACTGCGTACACGTCAGCTCCAGCGGCGACAACCCGTTTCATCGTGATGGCGTTGACGTGGACCGTTGAAGGCTCGGGCGACTGCCAGCGAGGTAGCTGGACCCAGTTACCACTACTTCGCACGGTGCAGCTACCCGTCGTCCAGTCGATTCGCGGGTTATACCGTCGCAGCCAA